GAGTGGCGACCGCGTACGGGTCAACGCAGTGCAGGACGACTCCCCCACTAGATGGAGTGACGACCTGAAATATATTGCAGAGAATCAGTGGATGCATGTGGCTCAGGACCGTTCTTTATGGCAGTCTATGGACTTATGTCCAGCAGTGGACAGATAATGGCTGAAATGATGATGATGATGATGATGATTAAAGATTTATTCTTAAGCAGATACTTCTACATTACCGTGGACGTCCATAATATCGTGGCTCAAAAAATAAAACTAAAACAATTTTTCTCCCCCACTTTATCGTGACGATAATATCGTGCCATACGTTACGGGAAATTATAAAATTGCCCGTTGAATCAGAATTAATTGCAATAAATAACATCTTCATTATAATTAGAGCAGTACAATTATAATTGTCTAGTTCATTAAATGATAATCAACCATTCATATTGTCACAGCTGGTGTATGGAATCACTTGTTAGTCATGCCAAAATACTTGATTGCAACAATCGGAATATTGTTATTGTGTGTATTTTTTTATACAACTTAGAATGGCAAGCTGACGGCCCACCTGATGGAAAGTGGTAACCGTCGCCTATAGACATGAGCAGTACGATGGACATAACAGAGTATACTGTTTCGCCTATGATACCCCCCATGCGTTGCCATTCCTGAGGACTCAGGTATTATTCCTCTGTACCCTGTAAATTCACTGCCATATCCCACCCTTCAAACTGAAACACAGCCATGCAAACATAACTGCTTCACAGTAGAAACAAGAATAGGACAGATATACCCAGAGGAATACCTCTGTACCCAGTAAATTCACAAAATAAAAAATTATGTTACATCTTTTATGTATTTTCCTTTTGCTTTTTTTATGCAACTTAGAATAGCAACCAAGCTGATGGAAAGTGGTAACCGTCGCCTATAGACATGAGCAGTACGATGGACATAACAGAGTATACTGTTTCGTCCATGACACCTCCCATGCGTTAACATTCCCGAGTACTCAGGTATTATTCCTCTGTACCCTGTAAATTCACTGCCATATCCCACCCTTCAAACTGAAACACAGCCATGCAAACATAACTGCTTCACAGTAGAAACAAGAATAGGACAGATATACCCAGAGGAATACCTCTGTACCCAGTAAATTCACAAAATAAAAAATTATGTTACATCTTTTATGTATTTTCCTTTTGCTTTTTTTATGCAACTTAGAATAGCAACCAAGCTGATGGAAAGTGGTAACCGTCGCCTATAGACATGAGCAGTACGATGGACATAACAGAGTATACTGTTTCGTCCATGACACCTCCCATGCGTTAACATTCCCGAGTACTCAGGTGTTATTCCTCTGTACCCTGTAAATTCACTGCCATATCCCACCCTTCAAACTGAAACACAGCCATGCAAACATAACTGCTTCACAGTAGAAACAAGAATAGAACAGAGATGCCCAAGTTAACGACTTTTGTACAAAATTTCTCTCTGGTAAATTCTGTCATAATATCAATATCAGTGCCAAGATTGGACATTTCGAACTTTAAAGAAGAGGTTTAAAGAACTTGTATCCAAAGCCTTAAAACTAAAAAAAAAAGAACAACGTGTCTACCATGAAATGAAATTCCGAAATTTCGGACTCATTTTCGTGTTTTTGTTCATACCAAAATCGGACCAATAAACGGAGCTTAACATTTCGCTCGTCATACATCCTATCATAAAAGTGCAAAGGAACAATATTTTAACATTTTTAATATTTCCAAACGGCATGTATTATGTAATTTTAACATCAAATTTCTGTTTGGTTTGGCTCCGAAATTTCGGAAAACATTTCATGGTACGCCCTCTGACTGTACAAACAGCGCAAAGTCGGATACATATGTATTTATATTACTGAACAATGGGAATTTAATGAACTTACTATACGAGTGTGTTTGTCGTTTACAACAGTTGTTATTTCTTCAAATAATATATTATTGATACATTTGTTCCGCCTACATTAATATGCAAGATATACTACCATCATTTATTTATTTATATAACTCCTAATTGCACCATAAATAAAAATATACAATGACAAGTGAATAATTCAAGTGAAATACAGTAACATAAATACAGATTGAAATATACACATAAAGGTACAAGAGGCGGTCTTATCGCTAGGGCAATCTCTTACAGACAACCTTTGGTTAAAGGAGAATATATAGAAAAGGGCAGGTGGCGCAAGAGTGAATTAATAATTTTTCGTGTATAAAATACAAAAACTAAAAACTATTATATATATATATATATATATATATATATATATATATATATATATATATATATATATATATATATATATATATATATATATATATATATATATATATAAACCTCGTGGATATTAAACTCTGCTACCTGATGCCTTTTAAATGAATTTAAAATTTTATTCCTATAGATTAATAATTTAATTTATTAACAGGATCCACTTTACTGATACTGCTATGACCAGATACCAAGGAAGTGAAAGAACAAATGGAAAGCGAAGGCTTCGTATATTGACTGACTCATAGACAAGATTTATGGTAAGTTGCCAGTTATAATTTTGGCAAACACATAAAAAATATAATAAAAAACTTTGTTGGACGTGACGTTGGATATGTCGGACGAGACGTGATGTGGATAGGTATACTCACTCTGCTGTCATTTTTTTTTTATACAACTTAGAATGGCAAACAAGCTAACGGCCCACCTGATGGAAAGTGGTAACCGTCGCCTATAGACATGAGCAGTACCATGGACATAACAGAGTATACTTATTCGCTCATGATACCCCCCCATGCGTTACCATTCCTAAGGACTCAGGTGTTATTCCTCTGTGCCCAGTAAATTCACGCCATATCCCACCCTTCAAACCGAAACACAGCCATGCAAACACAACTGCTTCACGGTTGAAACACGAATGGGACAGAGGTACACAAGCAATCGATTTTTGTACAAAGTCTCCCTTTGGTAATTTCATTTCCAACCGACTTTAAAAAGAAAGAGGTACTCAATTCAAAATTCAATTGTTACAGCCTATGCTGTTTTTTTTGATGGGTGAAAATGGTATGGTAACCCTACCTGCGCTAACGGGATACGCTTGCGGAGCATCAGTGAAGGGTGATAGATGAGAATCAAAACAGGCCAGTTAGCCCATCATGATGAATTCATCAAGAATTAACCATGATAGTTTCCAGGGAGAACCGCGAGGAGGTCGACCTGGTTGGGTATATTGCTAGCAATGGGATTCTCACTCTCCATAACTAACAATCCCTTTCCCCTAAATGACGTAGTAGTAACTTGAAACAGCCATGGTCGCTATAAAGTTCAAACTTGTGGTGGCTTGGTGGGACAGGTCAATGTGCTCCCACTAATATGGTTGAGTGGGGGGAAAGTGATTGTTACTATTGCAAAAGCAAATAGTCTAATCAGTGTTTGTAACCCAAACAGACCAGCCCCAAGCAGCACCCGTTCACGAGTATGATGGATGAGCCAGCCATCATTGCACTCAATTTTTTTTTAATGATTGATAATGGAATGGTAACCCCACCAGCGCTATCGGTATACACCGAAGGGGCACCAGTGAACGATGATAGGTGAGGATGAAGCAGGTCAGTTAACCCATCGTGACGAGTTAAACAAGAATTATTCAAAATAGTTTCCAGGGGGAACCACGTGGAGGTCGACCTGATAGGGTCTATTGCTAGCAATGGGGTTTTCAAATCCAATTACTAACAATCCCTTTCCACCCCCCCCCCCTCATGGCTTGATACAACAACTTATTTATCACAGGCATTAACTAAAAAAACTGACGGTCGAACTGTTGACACGTGGCAACTGCCTTGTATAGACAAAAATAGCATAAAACATGTCATTTCACCGAATCAATATTGACCATAATCTCTCCATAATATCTAGTTCACAAACGGACAAACAAATTGACGTGCAGACACATATAGAATGCCATCGTCACTGGCCTTGTACGCAGTTTTGTTCCTATTTGGCAAAACGCCATAAGACGTTACTACTGTATATATACATTGCACGGTATCCATTGTTGCTTTCTAACTGTCGGAAAGTATTATTTAAAATATAAAAAAAGTAATGAACCATGTGCGTGACGATGCGATGTGTGTTTGCTATTCATATTAAAGTCTCTGGGTGCCCTGAAAATGTAAGCGTCGGCCGTAAAGTGTAACGTACACTGAAATGAGAAATGGTAAAAATATAGCTGTTCTTTCGATACTTGTGTATCACTAATAAATATCATTATTATAGACAGAATATATTAAAATATATAATCGTAAGTTTGATCTACTGCAATATATATAAAAAAAAATATTAAACAGTTTATCGTTGCTTTTCCAGTATATATATATATATATATATATATATATATATATACATATATATATATATATATATATATATATATATATATATATCTCTGGGTGGCCTGAAAATGTAAGCGTCGGCCGTAAAGTGTAACGTACACTGAAATGAGAAATGGTAAAAAAATAGCTGTACTTTCGATATTTGTGTATCACTAATAAACATCATTATTATAGACAGAATATATTAAAATGTATAATCGTAAGTTTGATCTAATGCAATTTATATAGTAAAAAAAAATATTAAACAGTTTATTTGCGACTTTTCCAGTATTATATAAAATAGAAGAGAATAGAATAGAAAATATGTATTGTCAGAAAAACACAATTACAATAGAAAATACTAAAATATTACATATATAAGAAGTACATGCACAAGAAACTGCGCTGGTTTTCAGCCAGTCCCTCGCTTAACAAAATACAACAAATATATATATATATATATATATATATATATATATATATATATATATATATATATATATATATATATATATATATATATATACTGATTTTAAATATGAATAAAGGATGAATATTGGTTAAGTTTTTCTAAAGCTTCATTGATATAAAATAAAATGTTTTATAAAGACATTCTGGAAAAAAGGATAAAATTAATTATATCTGGCATTTTACCCTTCAATGTAGGGAAAAATACATTTACATACACAATACATCATTTCGAAACTAAAAAAAAAAAAAGTTTTTATGACACATTGGGCAAGCGTGCGTTTCACCGATGGTAAACGCCGCCCATTAGCACTCGCAGCGTCACAGGTATATTGCGGTCCAAACTTGAATATGCGAGGCGTTTTTCTCCATCACTGTACGTCAATCTTGCGGTGACTTTGATTTTGCAAGAATCTTTCATTCAGTCTGCGCTTTATCGCGACGCACGGTCGACTGCCGCGCTTGGGTCGCGCCGCCACCTCAACACAACGATGACTCTCAAGACAGAAGAGACGTCCTTTGATGAGGCACTCGAAAGAACCGGTACAGCGTTACAGCGAACTTTCTAGAATATTCGGAGAGCTTGTGTTTAGTGGATAAAGTGTGATGAGATGTTTGTTATGTATTTCAGTTTTGAGCCGATTTCGAAAAGTTTGGTTCTTGATTCGAATGCATTTTTTTTTTATTACGTGATATCTTCACCGTGACGAAATAATGACCGGATTTCGAAAGTCTTGTTTCATTTTTACTAAAAAATGAAAATGAAAATTACTTACATCTTAATTTGATTAATTTTTTTTAATAAATAACCAAAAATAAGTATGTTCATAACTATAATCCTTAATGGGGTAGTCAGAAGCATTTGTTGACTATGCAATTGTAGTGAACGCAATATTACTTTAATACAAAAATCTATTGTGAATATTCTTTGTGACGTGCCGACAACACTTCATTGTTTTGGCAAGTCAGTGCAATGTTATAAAAGCAACAAAAAAGCTGAATGACTTTTACGCAGTAAACCTCAGTCGTGTATTGATTTTCATATTCACGTAAGTTTTCCTGTAACATCAGTAAAAAGCAAGCAGAAAAATTTATCGATCGAGAAACTAATATTTGGCTTCTCGTTTCCTCCGCATGCGTGAGTGTCGAAAACGTGTCTACCGATAGATTCATTTTGTACTTGTACATGAGCACTGATACGATGGAAATACTAAATAATAATAGCGTCCATCATCATCATCATCAAATCAGCTTTTAACTATCCACTGATGAATATAAGGCCCCCCTCCCCTAGGTTTTGGCCAATAGTTGCCACGTTTGGCAGGCAGATTGGCAAGCGCAGTTAGGCTTTGTAGATATTTTAAGAGAGACGCTGCTGCCCATCCCTCTCCCTCCCTTAATCGCCTCTTATGACACCCACGGGAAAGGAAGAGGTGGCCTTTTCTATGCTGGGACCAAACGAGAGGCCCATCATCATATCTGTCATTAACTGTCCACTGCTGAACATAGGTATTTCCCATAACGGGGATTTTGCCAGTAGACACCACGCTTGGTAAGCGGGTTGGCAACCGCAATCAGGATTTGGCAGCTTTTTAAGAGGGATGCTGCTTCCATCCCCTGACCATTGAATTACCTTAGTAACCTCTTACGACACCCACTGGAAACGAAAGGGTGACCCATTCTAGCCGTGGGTAATCGCAGATAGGCTTTGGTGATGTCTTAAGAGAGACGATAAATTTAGTGTTTTTTGGGGCAAAATTTCCTGAAAAACAGATATTTCATATTTGCTCTTTATTACCGATGGAACCTTTGCTCCTTACATCCAAAGACATCGTCCTGGCCATAATACAGGGGGGGGGAGGAAGGATTATTAGTAATGGGGATTAGTAACCCCATTACTAGCAAAATACCCTATAGGATCGACCTTCTCACGGTTTCCCTTGGAAACCATCGTGATTGATTCATCGTTGAATTTGTCACGATGGGCTAACTGTCCTGCTTCATCTTCACTTATCACGCTTCACTGGTGCCACGCCAGTGTACACCGATAGCGCCGGCGGGGTAACCATTCCATTATCATCCATTAAAAAAAAACAATCAGAATCATTGAAATTAACGAATGCACAGAAATTAAATGAGATAAATGGAAATGTATGAGCAATCGAATATACCAATCTGGTACGGGCCATCGGCACAGAGCAAGCTAATAAATCACCAATAACGCCAATAAAGTTCGTGCAAAGAGCATATGGAGTCGTTAATAAACAATATGTGGCTTTTAAATGGTGACCATTCGATTCATAAACTTATATTGTGAATAATATTGAATTGTAGTTACCGAATACTATTTTTTTATACAACTTAGAATGGCAAACAAGCTGACGGTCCACCTGATGGAATGTGGTAACCGTCGCCTACAGACATGAGCAGTACCATGGATTACATTCACCTTCACGTTGAGACCTTACAGGATAATCGATGAGAACTGAGCTAAAATAGAGACCTTCGATGTAATGATATTAATCTGTAAGAAGAGAGATCTTCAGCATTTGATGCTGTTTGCCATACCATATAATATCAGCCGTCGTCCACAGCTGAACAAAGGCCTCCCTCTATTGGAGGATTTTGCCAGTAGCTGCCACGCTTGACAGGCGGGTTGGCAACTGCAGGTAGGCTTTGGAGATGTGTTAAAAGGGGCGTTGCTACTCCTTCCTCGACTATTAGGCTCCCTTAGTCACCTCTTATGACACCCGCGGGAAAGAAAAGGATGGCCTATTCTCTGCCGAGACCAGGCAGCACGCTGCTATTTGCCCAACGTTAAATAAATTGGCGTGAAGTTAGAGATTTTTACAAAAATATTTTCTTGCTTCCTCTACTTTCTCCTTTATTTTCATAACTCAGGCCCCAGAGATTCTTATCTCCTCCCTCAAAATATGCATAATCTATCAAGACTGGTTGGCTGTTCCCTTTTTCTTGTATCTCATTTTTGCTATTTATTTATCATCAGTCTGTCATCACACCAGTTGTTTGATGTATTCTAAGAAAAACTACTGCCAAATACTCTACCTTTACGAAATATATCTCTTGTGCTTTATTTGAAGTCATAACTTGTATATACACGTTGTTTCCAGAGACTCTTTTTTAATTTTTTTCTTATTTTTAATTCGCCAACGACGGGGAATTTATCTTCACACGTTTGAATCTAAATGGTCATGTACAGTACGATTCCAGACAAATTTCTTCCCACGAACGCTCAGACTGTGTTCGGCTCGAAAACCTCGGTAGGGGGCTCAGTGTGTCTGAGGTTTCCCTACTCCACAAACTACAGTAATCGTTTACCATCAGATGGGCTGTATGTTTGTTTGCTATGTTTTTGGTATAAAAAAATATATACAACTTTTAATAGCAAAGTAGCTAACAGTCTACCTGATAATATGAACCGGAAATTAACTGTCAACTATAGACAGAAACAACAGCTTGGATGTGACATGACACGCTATAATGTTTATGGTAACACGCCTGAGATGGAAGGTATTATATTTCTGTCTTCTGTAATTTCAAAGACTCATCCCACCCATCAGTACCACAACACAACCATTCTAACATAGTTATTTAATGACAAGAAACGTGAGTCGCACAAAAATATCTGTGCAGATTTGTACAGTCTCTTTCTTTAAATCCTCATCGTTGATAGAAACTAATATCATTTGGTCCCGGCATAGAATAGGCCGCCCCTTCCTTTTCCGTGCATGTCGTAAGAATCGACTAAGAGAGGACGAGGGCTGAGCAGCAACGTCACTCTTAAAAAATTTCTATAGCCTAACTGCGGTTGCCAACCCGTCTGCCAAGCATGCCGACTACTGGCAAAACCCTCCCAAGGGGAGGCTTATGTTCAGCAGTGGATAGTTAAAGGCGGATATGATGATAAATTAATAGGTAAACAGTTATCTGTATTATTAGAATGTATATTGTAAAACGAATCCTGTTTCCTACAGGACTGGCTCAGCCTAGCATAAGGAATCGATGTTAAATTTTACGCTTATAAATACTTTGACAATCAATTCATTTTAACATTTTTTTGCATCACTTCCAGGTAACGGTCTTTACAATGTTCTGCTGCTGCTGACGAGTTCATTGCTACTGCTGGCCATAGGCGTGGACCTATTCGGCTTCACGCTGGTGGTGGCCACCGCCTGCGACCTTCAGCTCACCGTCTCACAGAAGGGAGTTTTGTCATCTTTGCCTTTTGCTGGTAATATTCCTTTTTATGGCACTTAGAACGACACTTGACTTAGATGGTCCACTTGATGGAAAGTGGCAGCTGTCATCTAAAGATATAAACATCACAGAATGCACTATGGTACCCTTTATGCACCATACTGTTGCCATCTATGAGGACTATAATATATGTCTCCGATCCTATAATTTTACTTAAAACATTCCACTCGTGTTTTAACCATAAAGCAGTTGTGTTTGCATGGCTGTGTTTTAGTTTGAAGCGTGGGATATGGTGTGAATTTACAGGGTACAGAGGAATAACACCTGAGTCCTCAGAAATAGCAACGCATGGGGAGTTTCATGGGCGAAACAGTATACTCTGTTATGTCCATGGTATTTCGTGCGTCCCTTTTAAAACATCTTCAAGATCTAACCGCGGTTGCCAACCCGCCTGTCAAGCGTGGCAAGTACTGGCAAATCCCCCCAATAGAAGTAGGCCTACGTTCCGCAGTGGACAGTTAACGATTAAGAGGGTATTTGTAGATTTATTTATTTTCAGGTATAATTCTGGTGTCGTATTTCTGGGGCTATATCTCCGATACCAAAGGCAGGAGGTTTACCCTGGTGGTGTCCATGCAAGTTGGCTTCGTGCTGTCGTGTCTTTGCAGCATATCCCCACACTGGATCGTGCTTGGACTCATTAAATTTTTATCTGTATGTTTGTAAGTATTATTATGTATTTTATATTTATGTCCAACTGGTAGTTTCTGACAGTTTTATTTGCGTTAACCCATGAGCATCTTCATGGTGATAAACATGAGCAATTAAAATAAATTTCACTTTGCTTAATAGAAGCTCTGTAAAAATTTTAAATCAACAATATTTTCATTATAAAGGGGCAACTAAATTAAGAGGGGCAATGCCCTACCTAAAATGAAAGCTCCGAAGAAAATTAGGCAGATTCGCTGATTCGAACTAACTTAATTAGGGCTTCTGCCCTACCAAAAAGTTTTTTTACCCTACCTTAAACTTGGGTCTAGTGTACGGCCCTGTAATCATGTGGTATCGCGGTAAAAACTGGTTATCCCACCGAAAAGATAAAACGTAAAAAAAAAATGCCAAGTCCAACAACGTTGTTCTTCCACTAAAAAAATTATGAGATCTCGTGCAAAACCGAGTCAGTTATTTTAGTGAGTGTCTATGGAAGCACATATCAACAATTTTGCTATAAATTGTCATACAAACAGTTAGCTAACAACATTTACAGTGACCGTGTCAATATTAGACATCTTTATTTATATAATAATTATAATGACTTGGCAATATATTCTGCTAACAAAATACTTTATTCATAAATGCTCTATTTAGATTTATTTTGTAATCGATATAGTTGATTTTGTATTAAATTATTCTTTTCAGTGGGTGTCGTAAGAGGCGTAAATTTACTGGGTACAGAGGAATAACACCCGAGTCCTCAGGAGTGGCAACGCATGGGGGGTATCATGGGTGAAACAGTATACTCTGTTATATCCACGGTACTGCTCATGTCTATAGGCGACGGTTACCATTTTCCATCAGGTGGGCCGTCAGCTTGTTTGCCATTCTAAGTTGTATTAAAAAAAAGGCGACTAAGGGACGTAATGGTCGAGGGAGAGACAGCAGTGTCCTTCTAAGAATATCACCAAAAGCCTAACTGCGGTTTAGTAACCGTGTGCCAAGCATGGAAAATACTGAGATAACCCCCTTATGGGGGAGGCCTGTGTTCAGCAGTGGACATTTGGCGGCTAAAATAATAATAAAAAATATTTTATTCATAAGCACACTGTTTAGATGTATTTTGTAATCGAAATAGTGGATTTTGCATTCGATTGTTATTTTCAACTGATTTCGGAAAGGAAGTTCTCGATTCGGCTGCATTTTATTTTTGTTGGTTACCTCGTAACTTCGACAGTTATAAATAGATTTGGTATTTTTTTTTTTCTAAAAGAATTTATATACAAATTGGGCCAATCGGTCAGATTGATAGAAATTTTATTAAAATCGCTTCAATAATTTAATTTTTAAGCCAAAATAACTGATTTTGCTGTAATTGAAGTCGATGTTTCTTGTGGAACATAATCTTTTTTTTAAATTATACAATTATGAATATAATATATACTTTATATATATATATATATATATATATATATATATATATATATATATATATATATATACACTCGGCAAATGTTGTTTTACCATATACATTATTTCGAGAACTGTACATGAAAATTTCTCGTACTACAATTATCATATTCGATCGCCATCTTACAACCCTATTGCGGCATATGAAAATCGCAATTAAAAAACAGAGATTGATCGTAAAAGCGTGAAAATTTGAAGTTGTATATATTTTTAATGCTAAATCATAATAAAATAAAAATTAAAAAACTTCGTCAAAAAATTTTTAAAAAAATTTAGTGGTGGGTTACCTTTATCATTACGGGGTATGAAAAATAGATGTTGGCCGATTCTCAGACCTACCCAAAATGCACACAAAATTTCATAAAATAGAGGGAAGCCTTTGTTCAACAGTGGACAATAAACGACTGATATGATATAATATCACTGGTTTTAATGATTCTTTTTGCAATTTTATAATAATATTTATTTCCATGTTTGGTCCCATGCTAGTATTGTCTTTATACCGATTTATATATTTTTAAATGCAACAAACCCCTTCTTATTGGGGGGAACGGAATTGTTAGTATTGGAGATATAACTTCCCCATAGCTAGCAATATACCCTATCAGGTCGACCTCCACGCGGTTCCCTCTGGAAACCATTTTGATTAGTTCTTTATGAATTTTTCACTATGGGCCAACTGACCTGTTTCATCCTCACCTATCATCTCTCACTGGTACCCCGCAAATGTATACCGATTATATATTAAATAAAAAAAAAATATTAAAAAAATAAAAAAACCCTTCTTTTTCAGTTCGTGCGCTGCTAACTCCGTGACATACACGCTGGTTGGTGAGTCGTGCGTGCAGCGCGTGAGAAGCAAGTACATGCTTCTGATGACGTCTCTCCTACTTCTGTCGCCCGCCGTCGCAGCTGGTGAGTTTTTTTAGCCGACTTCAAAAAGAAGAAAATTTTCAATTCGGTCGTATTTTTTATATAATAATAATAATAAATCATTTCAATTACATTCAGTTACAATATTTTTATATTTTTTTACTTCATAAGTCCATCAGTTGTAAACCGATTTGGAAAACTTTTTTTTTATCTTAAAGGATATACTTAAAGATTGGATCTGTAGAAATTTTACCAAAATCGGTTCAGTAGTTTAGTTTTCAAATTAAAATAACTAAATACTTTTGCCCCAACTTTGAAGTCTGTTTTTTTGGGAAATACAATTTATTTATTACAAATTGACTAGCTTTTTCATCCGCGACTTCATCCGCGTGACTAAGATATGTTTTTAAACAGGATAATATAAGCCTATATCCTTAGACGTTGTGGTCGTTAAGGTGCTACGAGTTAACAAACAAACTCACTTTCACCTTTATTTCTAACTAGCTTTTACCCGCGTCTTTGTTAACGTAACCGGGATATGTTTTTTAGCCGGTATAAAAAGTAGCCATCCCCTATAGTACGTGTAAACCAGATTTCAAAATCATTGTTTTAACTGTTAAGATATCATAAGGTAACAAACAAACAAATACACTTTCACATTTATAATAATAAGGATATTAGTAAAGAGCATTTATTCTACAACTCAAAAAATATATCTCCACAAGAGGGCCGTAGCTAGATCCATGTTTAAGGTAGGGCAAAATAACTTTTTGGTAGGGCAGCAGCCATAATTAAGTGACTTCAAAAATACAAATATGTCTAATTTTCTTGGGGCCTTTTATTTTAAGGTAGGACATTGGGCCTTTTAAAGTAGGGAATTGCCCCTCAATGTTCCCCTCCCCTACCTTAGCGACGGCCATACTCTACAAACATGCTACTCTCAACTCTATTAATATAATTTTTACCAGAGAGAGACTTTGTACAAAAGTCGATTGCTTGGGTACCTCTGTCCCATTCGTCTTTCAACCGTAAAGCAGTTGTTTGCATGGCTGTTTTTCGGTTTGAAGGGTGGGATATGGCGTGAATTTACTGGGTACAGAGGAATAACACCTGAGTCCTCAGGAATGGCAACGCATGGGGGTATCATGGGCGAAACAGTATACTCTGTTATGTCCATGGTACTGCTCATATCTATAGGCGAAGATTACCACTTTCCATCAGGTGGGCCGTCAGCTTGTTTGCCATTCTAAATTGTATAAAAAAAACAATTAATGGATAAATGTTTGTTACTTCTTAACACAAAAACTACTGAATGAATTTGAATAAAATTTGGCATACGGGTAGGTTATATTCTAAGTTAGCACATAGAATTTATGGACTGATACATGCAGATGGCGCTGTGGGATACAGTTAAATAATTATTTTTTTTTATTATTATTTCAGCTGTTAACTATCCACTGTTGAACATAGGCCTTCCCCATAAAGGGGGTTTTGCCGGTAGTTGCCACGCTTAGCAAGCGGGTTGACAACTGCAGTTAGGCTTTTAGAGATGTTTTAAGAGGGATGTTGCTGCCCATCCCTCGCTCTTCTTTAGTCGCCTCTTACGACATCCACGGAAAAGGAAGGGGTTGGCCTATTCTATACCGACGGACATATGACAATACAGTTAATCTAACCTTTTTTTTCAGTGTTAGCATACCCTACCCTAAGTTTGGACTTCGAGTTGCCTCTACCCGGTATAGCTGTGATCTTCAGACCTTGGCGTCTACTCATGATCGTGCTGGCGCTGCCGTCCGGTATAGGAGGAGTTGCCATTTATTTCTTCTATGAGTCACCGAAATTCCTTGCTTATTTGGAAAGGAACGAAGAAGCCTTAGAAGTACTGAAGTCTATATACGAAATAAATCATCGATATTGCAAAGAAGACTTCAAGGTATGTTAACAGAAGATCGGTGTTTACAAACTACCCGAAGCAGGTTAGAGTCTTCTGCATGAATGCTTCTGTCCCACCAGCGTTTGTGTCGTGAAGCAGATACGCTTGCATAAATGTGTCTCTTAGAAGGATGTAATCATCATCATCATCATCCTCAGCCATCTGTCTACTGCTGAACACAGACTTTTACTGTAAGATTGCCATAAGGAATGACACTCAACCACCTGAAATTAAAATTGTATAATTTGGTAGCAAAATTATAGGCTACGGAGACCTAACACCAGCCGGGGGGAAAAAGGATCATTAGTAATGGTATCTAACAGCTTCATTGCTAGCAATATATCTTATCAAGTCGACTTTCACACGCGGTTATTTCTGAAAACTATCATAATTAATTATTGTGGTATTCGTCACAATAGGTTAACTGACCCGCCTACGTCTTTTCTCATCATCTATCACTGGTGCATCACCAGTGTATGAGCCAATTACCATTTCATTTTCACTCATAAAAATAACACCATAATTAAAAGGAATGGCAACGCCTGAGGAGTACCATGAGCGTCAGTGTACTCTGTGATGTTCGCATTACTGTTCAAAGGCCTCCATACCGTATAATTTCATTGCAATTTGTGGCTATTAAAACAATTAAAAAATGTATTTTTTTTTTATTCTTTTTCAGGTGCACTCTATAGTTTTAAGTGAAGATGTAGCAAAGAAGCAGACTTCGCTTCTCCGTAGGATATACGAACAGAGCGCACCGCTGTTCAGGCGCCCCCTACTGTTCCGGACAATGCAACTGTTTTATATCGTCGCGGTTGTCTATTTAACGTAAGGAAACTGATATTATGACTATACATATACTTTTTACTCAAACATGTCTAAACATATGCTATATTAAATCATAAACATACATAGGATACTTTTTCTCTTAGTTTCTCTTAGATATTATAACTATAAGAATTTCCACAAACTTTCTGGAGTTTATTAATGGATGATAATTAGTGTCCGACCCAACTTTCGGTTTCGGCCAGAAATTCTACTTTCGGCCTTAGTTTCGGTTTCGGCCAAAAATTGACCGAAACTTTCGGTCGCGCCGAAACCTAGTGTGTGTGTTTGTGTTATGTGTGTGTCTAACAGAAAGTTGTTTTTTTTTTGTAAGTTTACTTCCATGAGTAAGTCGTAATTTTAACATGTTTTTACATATAAATATATATGACATATTTGTTACATACTTAAATTAGTGTTTATTATTACCATTTAACTATCTGTGTCTTTGTGTAAATAATTGTGTAAAAATACACTAGATTTAAGTACAGAAGAGAAATTTTAAATATGTTTCAGTAAGTTTCGGTTTCGGTTTCGGCCGAAACTGAGACCAAGGTCGAAAGTTCAGTTTCGGTTTCGGCTATAAAACCTGTTTCGGTCGAACACTAATGATAATGGAATGATAACCCCGTCTGTTCTGTCGGTATTCACTAGCAAGGCACCAGTTAGTAGTGATAGGTACGGCTGAATTCTGGCAAAAACTAATGATGATAATAATAAGTAAGAGGATCGATTGGCGAGCACAAAATATTATAGAAAAGTCTACAGGTTTTCCTGAAAAATCCCTTCTTTCAATAATAATAATAATCCCCGTTATGAACAATCCCTTCTCTCAGTAAAGGCTGAAAATCTGAAATCTGTTGCAGGGAACTAACGACTAAGTAACCCACGATAATTCCTTATAGTCTATGTTGAAGACTTACAAAAGTTGATAATTAATGGCTCAAATGAATTAATGAAAAATACTGCAATACCTAAAACATGAAATATTACATATTACTTATCTACATATTCTATTAATTCCAGAAACAACACCTCCCTAGTCTGGTTATCGCATATTCTAAATCTAGTCAGACTGTCCCTGGAAAATGGCGCTGCTAGTGGTAATATTTGCTCATTGATATCCAACGACGTGAGCGCAGCGAACACAGCAGCCAATTCTACCTCAGAGAAAATTGTGAGTTACATTATTTTATTACAACTACCGGCGAAACAATTGTTTTTTAATGGATGATAATGGAATGGTAACCCCACCTGCGCTAACGGTATACGCTGGTAGGCCACCAGTGAGCGATGACAGGTGAGAATGAAAGGGCAGGTCAGTTCCCCCATCGGGACGAATATATCTGGAATTCAGCACGATGGTTTCCTAATAGTCCCTTCCCCCCGATAAAACAATTGAGAGAGGCCTATGTCCACTAGTGGACATATAATGGCTGGTATGATGATGATGTATTATTATACAATAATAATTTTAATCTCCCGATAACGGGACCTTATCTCTCTGTATAATATTAGTTTACTAATATCACGCCAGCTAGGAGATTCAGTGTAGGGTTGTATTTCGAATAGTCATTGATAACATATATAGTTCTTTCCCCCGCTGAGTAATTTGAAGTTTCTGCCTACGAGTAACCTTGTAGGACCATGTTTCGTAGGTCATCACTGGCAACACGCACTGGTTAATGACCTTCGTCATCAAACTCTGAGGTATTTTGGACCAGAAGATGTAAAATGATTTTCCGAACACTACCCCAGATTATTGTAAATTACATTAAATAGACGATTTTATCTACTTACAAATCTATATCAAACTACTCACCATGATAACTCATCGTCCATCAATCCGCATCAGAAAGGTCATCTTAAAAGTCATGCTCTCAGTACCCACTCAATGTTGAAGCCCAAATCCATCATCCATATTATAAGTCAACCAGCTGCAAACCTTGGCATATGCGAGCGTACACCAAAAGCGCAAACGCAAGTGCTTGGGAACTCAAATCCAATACATAGCACAAAAAAAATCTATATCAAACTATATAGGTAGATTAAAACAAACTACGTCTATACTTTCCATGTATAGAGGTTGTCTCATAGTTTCTCAATAACCGTTTCACTCACATCACCCTGGAAGAATACCAAACCGCACAAGACCAATGTAAGCAACCGATATAATTGGACCATTTATTTTTCAGTCTCCAGAAATATGTCTCGGCTACATAAAAGAGAATGTTATTCTGACTTTCGTGGCCACTCAGACGACGTACGCCTTCCTGAACTTCCTCTTGGCATACCTGCCCAACCACAGGAGGTTGTTGGTGATAGCAATACTGTGCCTTTCGTCAATAAGTGGAGTTCTGCTCAACCTGATGCCGGAGCCGATCTCCAGCGTGTTCTTCTTCATGTTGTTCACGTGCACTTGCCTCTGTATGGGGGTTCTAGCGTCGTACTTTGTGGATTTGTATCCCACATCTTGCAGGTGAGTTTGGGATGGTTAAATTATAGATGTTTGGTTGTAAGAATAATATTACTGGTCTATCAATTTGTAATTAATCTAGCTATGGTCCGAATTTTGTCAGTGAAATTAAAGCCTATATCTTTCTCTCGATCAAATATTTTAAGTATATTAAATTTCAAGTTCCAATAATAGGATATCTACTAATAAAATCTGAGAAAATGTCATAGTATTTGGTTAAGCTGTTAGGGAGCTATGAGATAACAAACACACACACTTTTATATTTATAATATTGGTAAGGTTTATCGAATGCAAGGTGAATATATTTTCAGAGGAATGGTAGCCTGCCTCAGCGTCATGGTGGGGCGGAGCAGTACATTCGTCGGCATCAACCTAATAGGAAACCTCATATTCTACCACTGCCAAGTTACATTCTACCTCTGGTCACTGCTCGTCTTAAGTAAGCATATCTCTTAAATAAGTCACTGCTTGTCTTAAATAAGTATATTATCAGTTTTCAGAACCTCTGCAATATCTACCCATCCTTTGTTCTATCAGATGATGACAGGTAGGAGAGATTTTATTCCTAGAAGGTTATTTTTTCTAATTGGTAGAAATCATTTTACTTCTTTTTCTTCTAATTCGAACAGCCTATGAATGACGGGGAAAGATTGTTTTAAACACTAAGACCGCCATGTACAGATACATGTACTATTGAATAAATAAATTAATAAATAAATAAGATTCTCTGCTGTGTCCTTCTTATAACCGGCAGTTTTTCATGGTAAAAGTGAATAAATATTACTTGAGATTATATGCAATAGCCTAGATTATATTATAAGTGAAGCTATAAATGCGAATTAACCATTTTTACAACATGTTTGTCCTTGCCAAGTTTCCAAAAATGATTAATAGAAGACTGTGTGCAAAATCGTAGTTAATTTTTATGAATATTGTCACGACGGCCTACTGATCTGCTTTCATCTTCACCCATCATCTCTCTGATGATGACTGATGCCTCGTCAGTGTAAACCGATAGCGTAGAGTTATCATTCCATTTTCATTCATTAAAATTACTAAATGTTGTATTTTTGTTTGAAGGATAGGCAATGAAGTTACAGGGCCATATTACCCTTAGTCCTTAAGAATAGCAACACTTTAGAATGCCTAAAATGTTATCTGTGGTACTGCTCATGTCAATAAGCAACAGTTACCAGTTTCCACCGAATAGCAGCCAGCTTCTTTTCCATTGCATGTTGTATTTTCTTTCCTCTCTTGCAGGTAGCGTGGTTGCCGCCTGGTTTCTCCCACCAGACAAAGCTCAGACGGATGCAACTGTAGTTTAATGTACCAAGAGCATTAAAACCAACCTAGGATGTCTGTGATTTTAGGTTATAGCTAGAATAATTGTTACAATATAAATACTTAGATAGTTTTATAAAAGAACCACAAGATCTGATGATAAATATGTATGTGAATAATACAATGATGCATTACAACAATGAATATTGATTTTTTTAAATAAAATTGTTAACTGTTGAATGGTGTATTAATATTAATTCCACTTATTTGTGGAAAGTCGGGTATTTTTACTATTACTGCCGTTCCTAATTTTGATGCCACCCATACTTACCACAACACTACCTAGCAGCGCATGAAGTTAGCGCAAGTGTGAACGTATTTATTGGTCTCGGGATGGTTTGTGGGATCATCGGCTGTAGTGTTCGCACAGTATACCTACAGTGCGAGCATTGTAGCGGATGCACCATACTGATATTGTTATGAAATATGGTTTTATTTGTTTAACGGATGCTTATGTTTTGCGCTGTGGATAACTATACTTGGCTAATATGTAGTAAATGTAATTGAATATGTATTCAATTTTGTAAAAAGCTGTTATTATCCTAAATAAAATAAATAAATAAATATACCCTACAGTTGCGGTCATCATCATCTTCAGTAGCATTATCATCAGCGTATCAATCTTGAACTGTCCACTGCTAAACATAGCCACTCCCCATAAAGGAATGTTTTGCTAGTAGTTGCTATGCTTGGCAGGCAGGTTGATAACCGCAGTTAGGTTTTGATGATTTTTAAACAGGGACGCTACTGCCCATCTCTCGATCATCAAGTTCCCTTAGTTTTCTCTTATAACACTCTCAAAAAAAGACTGAATATGACAGCACTTATCGGAGAGACCAGAGGGAGACTTTGTACAAAAGTCGTTTACTTGAGTACCTCTGTCACATTCGTGTTTCAACTGTAAAGCAGTTGTGTTTGCATGGCTGTGTTTCGATATAAAGGGTGGGATATGGCGTGAATTTACTGGGTATAGACGAATAACACCTGAGTCCTCAGGAATGGCAACGCATGGAGAGTATCATGGGCGAAACAGTACGAGGTCTGTCCGGAAAGTTCGTATAAAAGTGTTCTGGAATGCGAGAAAGAGGAGTGGGGAGGCCAGGTAAGCGCAGGACCCCTTCCTTATGTCCCTAACAATGCTTCAGTTCTGGTCTGACCGCCGTGCGGTGCGAACTGGCTTGTCACGCCATCTGTGAAGTTACCTCTTAACGAAACCCCGTCGGCATGGAGCCCGCTTCCGTTGAAGAGCAGCGCGTCGTAATCAAGTTTCTCTCGAAACTCGGCAAGAATGGCCGTGAAATTTTTGCCGATCTCAGAACAGTTTATGGGGATGATGCTGTGAAGGAACCAACCGTCCACAAGTGGCTAAAAAGATTCAGAGAGGGCCGAGAAAGCGTTCAAGATGACCCACGTTCAGGACGTCCTTCCACTTCACATTCCGACGAAAACGTGGAAAGAATTCGAACTTGTGTTAATGGGGACCGTCGTTTAACGGTCAGACAGGTGGCTGAAGAGCTTAATTTGGGCAAAACCGTGGTCCACGAAATTCTAAGAAACGAACTTCAAATGAAAAAAATTTGCGCCAAGATCGTTCCGTGAGTTTTTGAGTAAAAATTCCATTACGGTGACCGAACACCCCCCCCCTATTCGCCGGATTTGGCCCCGTGTGACTTCTTCTTGTTCCCAAAAACCAAATTGGTACTTCGGGGGCGGCATTTGGGGGACATAAATGAGATAAAAAAAGCTACGACGGGGCAGCTGAGAAACCTACAACCAGAGGACTTTCAAGGAGCCTTCTCACAGTGGAAACGGCGTTGGCACAAGTGCATTATGTCACAGGGGGAGTACTTTGAAGGGGATAAAATTGATTTACCTGAATAATTGTAAATTAAATTTTTAAAAAACTTTTATACGAACTTTCCGGACAGACCTCGTATACTCTGTTATGTCCATGATACTGCTCATATCTATAGGCGACGGTTACCACTTTCCATCAGGTGGGCCGTCAGTTTGTTTGCCATTCTTAGTTGTATAAAAAAAAAATCATTTTTTTTAATCCACCCATATTCAACAATACAAATATATTAATTTTTTTATACTAAGTCAAGAGATGTAGACAGTAATTAGTTGCTAACGTCACAATGTATCAGGCAAAGTATTTGACTGTTAGGTGGTCATGGAGAAAAAAATAGAAATAAATAAAAATACGTGTTATTCAAGTAAACTTAATAATAAGCATTTTTTAATAGTAATTTTTTTTATGAATCTATCGCCCAAATCTGAAAACAATTTCAACTGAGAAGAACGAGCAAGAAAAGACACAGCTGTTGCTTTTATTCAAATAAAAATTAAGTTTATAAAAAAAAAATTAATGGACGAAATGACTATCACAAACATCGTATTGATAAAAAAGAAAAAAAACCACATATAATATATAGTATACAAATAACTATACAATATATATACACGTAATACAAGTAGGTATAGATATTGATACATATTACCCATTACTGATACAATCTTCTGTGAATGCCACCATATACTATGGCCTATTGGTTTAGATTATATAGATAGAGCATCGAGCCTCAAAAAACCGTTTAACTTTTTCTCAGTTAATTGTCAAATTAGCCGATTCGTTTTTTTATCAGTGTTCTATATACTTACGCATACAATATATCTTGACGTGTTATTTAATAAATAAAATTAGTATTTACGCATTAAAAAGATGCAAAAATTTTAAGACAAAATAAATATAAAGGGATCACTCATAACTATTTATCACGCAAATTTGTATGAAAAAGTTGAGCCGCTTTTCTCGAAGCATTTCTATGGAGACATTCTATCTATATAATCTAAGACTACGGGTTATAGGCTATTGAAAAACCAATCCCTATTTCATATATGTATGATAAAAATCTGAAAGAGCACACAATATTAAAATTAAAGACAGTCTAAATAAATAGTCGTTTTTATTTACTTAAAATACTAACATAAAAAAAAGTTTTAACATCAATCATTTGTTATTATTTCGTTACATCACAGTTCAAATCTGAAAATACAAATTGTTAATTAACAGATTTTGGAATTTTTGTATATTTATTATCCTTGGACCCAATATAAAATTAAAGTCAACGAGTACATACATAATGGTGTATGGTCTTGCAAGTACTATCTTTGTAGTATGATCCAACCATACACCTAATACCAATACCTTGACATGAAACTGAAAAGAATTTCCAACTAGAATAGTGAAAATTAATAATTAATATTATTATTAACTATAAATTAATCCTTAATTGTTTTTATAATTAAAGGTATTTGGATGTAGGATTAAAGATATCTGGATGTTTAATATCCAATCACATATTAATTAAATAAGGTCATTTCTCATGGCTCTAGTGCAAGGCCGTAGCTAGGTGGGAGGGAGAGGGCATTGAGTGACAATGCCCTACCTTAAAATGCCCAATGCCCTACTTTAAAATGAAAGGCCTCAAGAAAATTAGATTCGCTTTTCAAAGTCACTTAATTACGACTTGTGCCCTACCAAAAAGTTCTTTTGCCCTACCTTAAACTTGGGTCTAGATACGGCCCTGCTCTAGTGACAACAATCTTAGATCACCTTCTTTATTCTTTATTGTACACAAAATATAATGTTAACCAAAATTCATTATAAACATAATGTACAAAGGCGAGCTTATCTCTAATAAGAGATTTCTTCCGGCAAAACCTTTTCATGTAAATTGGATGTTATTTTAAAAAATAAAAATAGGCAGTCATTCGATCTGCGTACATTATATAAACACATTCATAAGATATGTATACACAAAGAATAATACAAACTACACATATATTACACAAAATACATAAACCCTGTAAACATATAAATATTGAAATAAATAAATACATAAAAAACATACATATATACATATACATACATATATATGTACACATATACATAATACACAAATACATCAACATAGTAATAAGTAATGCTCCCTTAGACAACGCTTTTATAATCTGAATCATGTACAGTAACTATGAACATATATATATATATATATATATATATATATATATATGTGTGTGTGTGTGTGTATATATATATGTATGTATTTATATATGTATATTTGCTTGAATACAGGTCAATACATTAGAATTTCTGACAGAAATTTGTAGCAAACTTTAAAAAAAACAAACACAATAGATTTCAGAAGTCGCAGTATTAAAGGTTTTTTTTTGCCTGACAAAGCCCATTACTGAATAATAATAATAACAGTTGGTCACAACTTATTAATAAGAGGCTCAAAATCTTTTAACACTTTCTGACTCATGTTTTCTTTTATAAAAATATTCAATTTTAAAGGTAAATCATTACTCTCTTGAACGGATACACATAAATTTAATTACATCTGTATAAATATATCTACTTTCTACAAATATACAAATTTATAAGTAATATAATAAATAAACATAGAGACTACCGACTAAACCGTTTTAAATTTAAAAAAAAAAAACGTTAATGCTCACTTTTTTACTTTATCCGAGCAGTAAGTACTTTATATTATTCTCAATTTCGTGTATAATATAGTATATATCATATATGTGTTAGTATATTTATTATTTATATATATTTATTCTTTTATATATGTAATTTTAGTATGTATGTATATCAATAATTTACTAGTACCGCATTCAAGTATTCTGACACTTCCCTATGTTTGACTGACAGAAAATGCTTTTAGCATTAAGTCCGCCATGTATACATATATGTACTATTTAATAAATAAATATATATATATATATATATATATATATAATATATTGTATATATATATATATATATATATATATATATCAGTATTATACCTAACACATATTTTCTAATAACCTAACATTCACATAATTTATACTAATTTACAAAAAAGGCACAATATCTTCCCGTTTAATTATAAACAGAATGTAGAATATAAAAATACATAATGAGTACTACTTATCTATCACATTGTTATATTCATGAAAGCACCAATTTACATTCACCCATTCATTATTCAAACATTAAAAATAAAAAAAAAAATTATGCAACTTAGAATAGAAAACAAGCTGACGGCCCACCTGATGGAAAGTGGTAACCGTCGCCTATATACATGAGCAGTACCACGGACATAACAGAGTTTACTGTTTCGCCCATGATACCCCCATGCGTTGCCATTCCTGAGGACTAAGGTGTTATTCCTCTGTACCCTGTAAATTCACTACCATATCCCATCCTTCAAACCAAAACACAGCCATGCAAACACAACTATTTCACGGTAGAAAAACGAATAGGACAGAGGTGCTCAAGCAAAAATGTTTATAAATTTACAAGTATCAACAAGTTACACTTAATAATATTTATTTATTACAGACCCTACAGACAACCTTTCCAATACTATTGGGAAAGGTTTTAGGGGCAAAAGTAAAAATGGGATATTTTCGCATTTATGGGTAACTTTTCCAATATGGAGGACATCCTTCCTTTCTCTTCATAATCCAAATTGGTCTGGCCTATTTGAGTTTTACGCTTAGTAATACATTTAGAAAAGTATATTTGATATTTATTTAAAAAATAAGTGACCTGTTTCCCGTGCAAATTCCCTATATCTGTTATTCCCGTGGGAACTCAGTGGAATTATTTTTAATATTACATATATTAAAAATAAGTGTTAGTTGATTTTGTAAACCAGTAGTTTCCCCACTTCTTTTTCTTGCAATAACTAAAAAAACAGATATCAATTCGAAAATAGTTGAATTCAGTTTTATTTCTCAGTCAGAAGCCTCTATAGCAAATTTCTATAAAAAAAGCTCACAAGTAATAAATATATAAAGTATAATTCGTAACATTACTCTTCTGAAAATATGTGAAGTGTTAAACCGACCATAGTTTTTGTTATGCTGTTTGTATCTTAAATTATTAAAAAAAAAAATTACCTATTTTATACAGCAGTATAGGTAAACAATTCCGTTACAATTTTATCAATAATAAAATTACCAAATCTAAATCCAAGTTCGAATATTATTCTGACCAGTAAAACCAACAACAACAAATAAGTAAATCGAAAATAGAGGTAGGTATCTTAGAATGAACATATCAAGGCAACTTCCAATATTGGCAAATATTAAAAAAAAAAATCATAGAACATCTTTTCCCCAGAAATATAGATCTAAATTTCTCTATATTTTTTCTGTATTTTCCATAAAATAGCACGGTTATGTAATCCTGAATAGATATGAGATTCAAAAACATATGTAATGATAATTTTGAAAGTAAATTGGACTAAATAATAATATAATAAAATTAATTTCGTAAAATTTTATGATAGGATAGCTCAAAAATATATTAACGATTACTTGTTATTTAAAAAAGCACCATAATTCATATACGCTAGCGCTAACACCATGGCAGTATATCAACCAATATAGTAATAAATAAATTCACAAAACAGGCTTTATAATTTAATTATCAATTATTAACTAATGTTTCAAGTTACTAACTTTAACATGAAATAAACAGACAATTTTGAAAAAAAAAAAAATGAATTTCTACAAAAATTCTAACAAAATGTTTACACATTTTTTATTTCATCTAATATTTTAGTATATTTAATATAAAAATCAATATAAATGCCAATATTTAAATTCACATCTATCGATTTATTAAAAATATTCTCCTACATTTCAACTTACAAAAATAAACCAAATATTTTACATTATATTACCTTTTTTTTATTTACTTATTTATTTAAATATAGGCACATCCACAACAAGTAGGCACATAGTATTATCTTTAAGTACCATTCTATTTGAAAACATTCATTTTAAATCATCACTCAAATTATTTTTCATTCAATGACGAAAATATCAGTAATAACATTTCTAGATACCGGATAATGTGATGGCAAAAGAATATGTAAATAGACCACGCAAAAATACCATAACACGTTTAAGAAAACCATTGGCTATAAAGCATGCAACCGCAGAAGTAATTATATATAATAAAAAAATATGAAAATCATATTATTCCGTCACATTTTCATTTTTCACCATCCACAATTAACAATTGCTAAATATCTAATTACAACTACATTATTCTATGATAAACTTACTTTCATGTACTAACGACTGACCAAATATTTGACATCCACAACGAGAGACCAGGTTAAAGCATCTAAAACAGAAGTTATACAGCTCAATGGCTAGTCTCGTTTGAGATCGAGAGGATCCGGGACGCGATACGAGTATAAAATTAATATATGAAGATACATGTCCAGGACGAAAGAGAACTGTATGGCAGTATGCATGTTATTGGCTATTCTCTCATAGAGAAGATCGACCTGTTTATAACATAACAGAGAGAAATTAAAATAGTACGTCTCGTTCTAGAAGAACGAGTGAGAAATATTGTGCTAATTGGCTATTCTAACTACATATGAGTAGATATGTACCTATCTAATCCAGTATTTTTCTCATTGTCTTCACCATCGTCGGTACTCTGGGATGCTTCTTTGTTCTCTTCTAGTCTGATAATCATAATGGCACCAATTGATACTGAAAATAATCACTAGATTAAATTAAAAATTTCCATTGTAAACGATACGGGAGTTTTTTCTAAGGTGTTTTTTTTAACAACTTAGAATGGCAAACAAACTGACGGCCCACTTAATGGAAAGTGGTAACCGTCGCCTATAGACATGAGCAGTACGATGGACATAACAGAGTATACTGTTTCGCCCATGATACACCCCATGAGTTGCCATTCCTGAGGATTTAGGTGTTATTCCTCCTACATTTATTTTTATACCTGTTCACTTTTCTATAAAATAGAACGGCGTATTGCGACGCGCATTTAATCTCCTTTATGAGATCAACAATGCACCCTTCGAACGTCATTTCCATAAACCGTCAAGCTGTCATCACTAGTCTATCAAGCCAATAATCAACTAAATAACATGCTATATTAAATTTGAGACGTACCTTCAATGCCACGATGTATGATTAATGAGCTGTCAAATTGGATATTGCAGAAAAGATGTCCCGTGAAATTAGGCTTGTTCTATCAAATTAGGGTATTAGTGGATATAACAAACCCAAGTTATACACCGTTGTAAGTCTTTTTTTCTTAATAGGGCATAGCATAAACAACCTAACCAACCAACCAACGGTATATATATATATATATATATATATATATATATATATATATATATATATATATATATATATATATATATATATATATATATATATATATATATATATATACATGTGTACAAACATCGTTTTGTTACAATTTTTCTACTAATATAGTAAAAAATTTAATTCACGAAGATCAGCAAATTTGCAAAAAAAAAAGGTCATGACAAGGTATACTTTGACCTATTTATTGTTGACATATGCATAAATGATAACCTCTGTGGCACAGCGGTGGGTAAATTGCTTTGTGTAATATAGTCTAATCGAATCCGGGGTTTATTTTTCATTCTCGGTCAAGTCAGAAAACTAATTTTTATATATAGGCTAAGTATAGATATTCTTGGCTGCGAGGTTCATTGTCTGGTCCCTTATTTATTTATTTTATTGAAATAACTTTACTGACCAATAGAAAATAAGATAGAAAAGGCGGACTTAATGCTAGTAGCATTCTCTACCAGTCAGCCTTTGGGATGAACAGTGAATCACGAACGCGGTACTTCGACAGAAATCTTAGTACTTTGCTGGCAGTATCTAGAAGTACCACTATCTGCATCCTACCCAGAAGCTGCCTCAGAATCCCAATCATCTGAGATCTTGTTCCAGACTGGTTAGGATAAGACCCTTCACTGATATAACGATTGTAATAAGATAGATAGATAAATAAAATCTTTATTCGCATCAAAAAATATTCAAAAATTGAGACAATAGGGACAGAAAAATAAACAGTTTTTTACAAACGAGCGATATACACAATTTTTTCTTACATAAAATCTGAAAATGTAATATGTATACCACAGTGATGCAAAAAGGCAATATCTTAACATGATGTTTGTAAATTAATAAAAAAAAAACCCACTGATTTTCAGTTAGTGCCTGAGGGAGACTTTGTACAAAAACCGTTTGCTTGGGTAACTCTATCCCATTCGTGTTTCAACCGTGAAGCAGTTGTGTTTGCATGGCTGTGTTTCGGTTTGAAGGTGGGATATGGCGTGAATTTACTGGGTACAGAGGAATAACACCTGAGTCCTCAGGAATGGCAACGCATGGGGGTATCATGGGCGAAACAGTATACTCTGTTATTTCCATGGTACTGCTCATGTCTATAGGCGACGGTTACCACTTTCCATCAGGTGGGCCGTCAGCTTGTTTGCCATTCTAAGTTGTATAAAAAAAAACTTCAGTGAATAACATTGTTACTATTAAAGACAGCCCAAGAACAGTGGATTTACGTACCAGCAAGCAGAGCAGCCACAGATATAAATGGAGCCGGGCAGGAATAGTCGAGCAGGACTCCCACAGCGAGGTTAGAGACAACGCCGCCGGCCCGCCCCCACCACGCGCCCCAACACACCCCCAGACCACTGAAATTTAGGAGGGAAATATAAATATCTGCAAATAATTTCTGAAATTTCGTATTATTAATGGTGATAAAGTTTCACTAGTTTCAGTATTGCAGTTTACAGGAGCGGACTTTTATTCATTGTTTACTTACTGAAAGATATATTAAGTAATAGATATTTTCCCAAGGAACTACAGCATGGGGTTCTTCAGTTCTTCGATTTTGATAATATTTCTGCGAGACCAATCTGTACGTATGTCCTTTCAGATAAAAAGAGTTATGAGGTAATAAAGAAATAAGCATGGGGTTCTTCAAAAGGGGGGTAAAGAGGTTTCTTCAGGGTCGGCAACGCGCGCGTAATACCTCTGGTATTGCTGGCGTTCATAGGCTACGGTAACTGTTTACCATCAGGTGGGCCGTATACTTGTTTGCCACCTCAATGGTATAAAAAAAAAAAGATATATAATTTATTTGCATCACTTACACCACACAAGTAACATTAGACATTGGTACATACATAAAAAAAGTAATTAAACAAAACATATACAAAAAAAAGATCATAGAAGAAATAAGATATTTTTTCGTACATGTGTCACAGTAACACAAAATGGCTATAAATTATTAATAAAATTTAAAAGAACTTACGTGAAATAAATTTTATATAAGAGTCGCTTGGTAAACTATTAGGCACATAAAACATAATTGTGCTTTGTTCTCTTTTCTAAAGCAAGATAGGAAACATTCATAATAAAATTATATTCCAAGCTTCGACACCAAGTTACTTGGTCAATGTACCTATTTGCACTAGACTAATACCATCTTCTTAAAGTTTACAGCAGTACTTAGCAGGGCACACGTCCAGGAGAGAACTTTACCGTTTATTCTGAAGATGATGTCGGTTCAATCATTTTTTTCTAACACAAAATTAAGAATTTCAATACACTAATGAATTATGTACAATACAATACAACACAACACAACACATCACAACACAACACAACAAAACACAACACAATACAATAAAATGATATTATGGGTGAATTTACCTCAACTTAGCGGGCAGCGCATGCAGCAGCAACCTGATCAGCAATACGTTCCCGTTGAGCGAGGCGGCATTGAGCGCAGCAGCGGCCGCCACGGCCAGCCTGCTACTGGCGGCGCAGGCGCACGCGCACGCGGCCAGGCACGCGCACGCGCACGCGCACGCCGCCGCGCACGCCGCCGCCGCGCGCCGCACGCCGCGCGCCCCGCCGCGCCCGCATACCACCGCGCACGCTGCGTTGCCCAGCACGCAGCATGCGCCCACGATCAGCCCGGACGTGAACACCTACATGGACAATACAAGGAATGTGGGAATAAAGGCGCTGTTAGTAATAGGGTTTAATGAACTCATTGTTAGCAATACACCTTATCAGGTCAACCTCCACGCAGTTTCCCCCGGAAACCATTATGATTTTTTTTGTTGGATGAAAATGGATTGGTAACCCCGCCTGCGCTAACGGGATACGCTGGCGGAGCACCAGTGAAGGGTGATCGATGAGAATGAAAATAGGCCAGTTAGCCCATCATGATGAGTTCATCATGGAGAATTAATCATGACAGTTTCCAGGGGGAACCGTGTGGAGGTCGACCTGGATAGGTATATTGCTAGCAATGGGAATTTTAGTCTCCATTACTAACAATTCCTTTCCCCCCAAACCATTGTGATTAATTCTAGTGGAATTCGTCACGATGGACTAACTGACCTGCTTTTATCGTCACCTATCATCCTTCACTTGTGCCCTGTCAGCGTATACCGATAGCGCAGGCGAGATTACTATTCCATTATCACCGATAAAAAAAAAAGTACAAGGTTTGTTAGTAATGGGGACTTAGGCCACATTGCTAATAATGTAACATGTCAGGTCGACCTCATTATCCATCGTGATTAATTCCTGTAAAATTGGTCCCGATAGGCTAACTGACCTGCTTTTATCCTCGGCTATCATTTCACACTACCGCCTCGTCAGCTTAAGAGTATACCAACAGCGCAGACGCGGCTGCACATTTCATGTCCAACTTTATAAAAAAATGTATGACAATGTTTTTCAATTAATTGCTGAAGACACTCTGGGTACGTATTGCGACACTGTAGATATTTTATCAATATTATAAATGCAAACGATTGTAAATATTGATGGATGTTTGTTACTCTTTCACGCAAAAGCTTCGTAACAGATTGGCATGAAATTTGATACACGGATATCACATAAGATACTTTGTGTACTTATTCATGCGAGTAAAACCGCGGGATACAACTAGTTGAAAATATGAAGTAAATAGAAGACAAAAAATACGCCAAATAACGTAAAAAGTATATTTGGATATGGTAATAATTAAGATAAGCTACACATACCACAAACTATAAAACTGCGCCTATAGAATTCATCACTTCCTTATCAAAACTTGGTAAATATATAGTAAATAAGTACTTGTTATCAAAACTTACATTGTCATCCATACTACCATCGCACTGGTTATCCCTCAGCCCTACATCGTTAATGCTGTCGTTGTAACCAGCCACAGATTCTGTACCAGTAATCCCAAGCTTATTCTCCGTCCACCTGGTGGCATTGAGAAGTCGTGTGCTCTCAACCAAACTCGCCAATTTGCACTCCCGCCCTTGCATTCGCAGGAGCAACTCCGGTATCCAAAGGTTTAGCCCAAAACCTCTAGAAAAAAAATACAAATAAATACACTAAACCGATGCTTCTTAACAGCATTAGAAACATTATCGTCTTTTCACGTATTCCTCATGGTACACTTCAAAGATGGTATAATTATGGTCTTCGTACCCTATATATATTACTGTTATATCCATATTGTGATGTAAATTTCTATGAGACTGGTTATTTAATAAGAATTATTTTGTTTTAATTCCGCTACCATTAGTTTGTGTGTGACTGCCAACACTCGAAGATTTATATGGTGAAGATAGTGATATGGACTTCCGCGAGACCCATTTCAATATTTTTTAAATTTCTAAAAGAGTTTTATCATGTTTCTGATTGAAAGTTATTCTTTGCGCTTATCTTACCCTTCTATTGTCTTAATAGAGAAGTCTCATATTTTTTTGACTTTGTACAAAAGTCGATTGCTTGGGTACCTCTGTCCTATTCGTGTTTCTACCGTGAAGCAGTTGTTTGCATGGCTGTGTTTCGGTTTGAAGGATGGGATATGGCGTGAATTTACAGGGTACAGAGAAATAACACCTGAGTCCTCAGGAATGGCAACGCATGGGGGGTATTATAGGCGAAACAGTATACTCTGTTATGTCCATGGTACTGCTCATGTCTATAGGCGACGGTTACCACTTTCCATCAGGTGGGCCGTCAGGTTTTTTGCCATTCTAAGTTGTATAAAAAAAAACACAAGAGAAGAAGAGACAATAGCAGAATCAGTTAGTCAGAAGAAGTCAGATCGACTGTCACGCGCTCACCCATGAAAATCATCGTGGTTAATTCTTAAAGAGTTCGATACAATGGTCTAACTGATCTGCTTTCATCCTCACCTATCATCCTTCACTGGTGCAGTGCCAGCTAATACCAATAGACCCTAATACAAAAAAAAGTTCTCTTGTTAGCAATATGCCAGTCGATCTCCACGTCACCACGTATTCTTCACGATGGACTAACTGACCTGCCTGGGGGGAAGGGATTGTTAGTAATGGGGTCTAATGAACCCATTGCTAGCAATACACTATCAGGTCGACCTCCACGTGGTTCCCCCCGGAAACCATCGTGAACAATTCTTGTTGAATTTGTCACAATGGGCTAACTGACCTGCTTCATACTCACCTATCATCCTTCACTGGTGCCCCGCCGACGTATACCGATAGCGCGGGCGGGGTTACCATTCCATTATCACCCATTAAAAAAAAAACTGACCTGCCTTTTCACATCACCTATCTTCCTTCATTCGTACTCTGCCAGCGTATACTGATAACGCAGACGGGGTTACAGTTCCATTGTCAATTATTAAAAAAAAAATACAAAGAAGGAAGTAACTTACGCAGCCATATTTGCGAAGAAAACAAATAATATCAGACTAGATTTGAGCGCATAACTCTTCGACACGAACATCCTCAAGTCCTTCAACACGCCTACAAATAAGGCTTTTGTTCTATTCTGCTCACCATTTAACGTTTTCGTTACAAGTATGTTATCTTGTATTAATTTCTTTACCTGAAATATTCCAAATAAATAATTTACTAGGATTTTTTTAGTAATAGATCCTTTGCTATAATTTGAGACAAAAGAAAAAAAAATTGAGATTGTAAACGTAAACATATATACTATCAAATGATTATCAAATGACTACATGATAACGTCAAGAATTGACGTATCTTACCTTAAACTCGGATGTCTTTCCATTGTTACTATTATGTATCAGGGTTAACAATTCTAACGCCTTCTCACTCCTGTTGGTATCGCACAGCAACCTTGGACTCTCAGGTAGGTACAATATCCAGAAACCAGATATGAAGCCTGGCAAACTGACCAGCGCGAGAAACAGTCTCCAGGAGTACGTGGGGAGGACGCTTGTTGCATTTGATGCATGGAATGGTATCACGAGCCACGCAAAAGCTGAAATATGAAAAATTTATTTTTAAACATCAGCCAGCGTGCATTTCAGTGCATCAAAAATATTTTGTATAGTACACTTCATTACCCTTCTTTTAATTGTTCAAGCAAGCGACTTTTGTACATAATCTCCTTCTGGTTTAATTAAGAAATAAACTCTCAGTTTAATTCTTATGTAACTAAAACTGCTATTTACTAGTTAAACAACCGCTGAATTCTTTTAAGATTTAGTAAACCATTAGGTCACGAGGTTTTGCTAGTACAAACAAATAAGTAACACCGATTTTAGTTAGCTATAGGTATACAGTTAACGGATAAATTAATCGTAGGTATACTCGTATACCGTTAAGTAGTTTAAGCTGTGATGTTTGCAGACTTCACCTCGACACTGCATGTTAATTTTGATGTAGCATTCGGCCGTCAGCGTATACATTTCACTAGCAATAGTCATTAAAAAAAAATGGCTAAGTGCGAGCTGAGTTTGTACAGTAATGGTTCAAATTAATTGAAACGTAATAATTTATTTATTAATTTTTAAACTATAAATGTCTGATGGTAAAAAGCTCACTGTAGCCTATGGAAGCTTACAACACTAGGGGATTTTTTTATGGGTGAAAATTGTATGGTAACCCCGCCTGCACTAACGGGATACGCTGGCGGAGCACCAGTGAAGGGCGATAGATGAGAATGAAAACAGGCCAGTTAGCCCATCATGATGAATTCATCAGGAATTAACCATGATAGTTTCCAGAGGGAACCGCACGGAGGTCGACCTGGTTGGGTATATTGCTAGCAATGGGATTCTCAGTCTCCATTACTAACAATCCCTTTCCCCCCCCCAAAACACACAACACTAGGGGTGTCACGTGCACTTTGCTGACCCTGAAAAATTCTTAAAATACGCTTTGATTTATTATATCTAAAGGATTTTGTTATTATAGCAGCTTTTAATAATGTAACAATATCACATATTTTAAGTTGATATAAGTGTATTCTAATGTCCTTAAATATTAATAAATAAAATAGTAAAAAAAAAATGGAGCCTCGTATAGGTGTAAACTGAAAATCAGCGCTGAACGCACGTGAGTCCAGCAAAAGCTGAGTTTGTACTTGTTGCTAGATAAACGGGTACTTAACAATGTATTTGTTCCTGTAATATATCTTGTAATTACTGTGTTGTACTTTTAAAAAATAGCAATAAATACATTTAAAAAAACAATGATTCGAAACAATAGAAATATCTAATTTTTTTTTTAATGGGTGATAATGGAATGGTGACCCCACCCGCGATATCGATACACACCGGCGGGGCACCAATGAAGGATAATAAGGTGAGGATGAAGCAGGTCAGTTAGCCCATCGTGAAGAATTCAACAAGAATTGTTCACAATGGTTTCAAAGGGGAACCACGAGGAGGTCGACCTGGCAGGATATATTGCTAGAAATGGTACTATTAGTTCCCATCACTAACAATTCTGGTTTCATTCACATCTTATCTCTCACTAGTGCCCAGTCAGCGTATACCGATAGGGAAGGCAAGATTACCATTCCACCATTCCACCATCATACCATTACTCCTGTTAGAAAAAAAAAATGGAATAATCAAAATTTTTTTTATAATAATTTTAAGGGCTTTTACCTTCTTTAGGTATATCAGCCCTATTGTACCCTGAACTGATTTCTCAAACAAAACTTTATCTACTTTCCTAGGGAAAGTAGATAAAGTTTTGTTTGTTTGTTTGTTTGTTTTGTAACGCGGAAAGAGAGGAATTAATAGGCATCAATAATTCACAGAGATGGTAAAAAAAATCTAGTTTAAGTTCAGCTAACATAGATTGAATAAGACCAACATTTAAATTTATTTAAATTAAAGTGGCGCATGAGTTCCTCTCTATCCTTCGTGTTAATACGACACTCTAATAGAATATGATGCATATCATCGATGGTATCACACGTTTGACAATGGGCTGACAAGGACTTTCCCATCATATGTGCAAATTTTTTTGTATCATCGGAATAGACCTAACCGACCCAAGAAAGCGAAACTACGACCACTCTCACTATATTATAAAAAAAACACACACACACAGCGCCGTAACCTAAAAGTATCAAATTAACATGTGAAAGTTTTGTGTAAAAAAAAAAAATCAGTTTTTGCATTCAACCCATCTCTCTGACATACAAGTACTGCTGACGTCTGTTGATGAGGTCGCTCTTGTTCGTGTCAGTTTTTTTTTTATTTCTATTTAAAATTATTAATTATCGCTATTAACTATAAGTTATATCGTTCAAACATAAATCTAGGTCGATGTTGTTTTATCAAGCTTACGCATTATGTTATGATATTTTTTTTATACAACTTAGAATGTCAAACAAGCTAACGGCCCACCTGATGGAAAGTGGTAACCGTCGCCTATAGACATGAGCTGTACCGTGGGCATAACAGAGTATACTGTTTCGCCCATGATACCCCCCATGCGTTGCCATTCCTGAGGACTCAGGTGTTATTCCTCTGTACCCAGTAAATTCACGCCATATCCCACCTATCAAATCAAAACACAGCCATGCAAACACAACTGCTTCACGGTTGAAACACGAATGGGACAGAGGTACCGAAGCAATCGACTTTTGTACCAAGTCTCCGCAAAAGTATCAAAGTCATATAGCCCGATGGATAAGCAAGCTAAAGTGGCAATAGGTTGGTATGTGACCAGCTCGATGAACCGAAAACCGATGGGGAAGAAAGGTTCTTGAGTGCAAACACTGTGTAGGACAACCACTCACCAGGTGGAGTGCATGCACGTCAAATGCACTGCAGAGTCAGTGGATGCAGGTGGCTCAGGACCGTTCTTTATGGCAGTCTATGGGGGAGGCTTATGTCCAGCAGTGGACGGATAATGGCTGAAATGATGACGATGACTCTAACAATACCTATTCATGTTAACAAAGTTCTATAATTAAAGATTGAGTCCCACAAAAAAATCGATTTTAATTGTTATCGATTTTGAAACAAGTTAATTTGATCTAAAAATAAAATTGCTGAATCGATTTTGATAATATTTCTGTGAGACCAATCTGTACGTATATCCTTTCAGACAAAAAGAGAATTTTCCAAATTTAAAACTGACGGAGTTATGAGGTAATAAAGAATAACTGCCCGCTAATAATTAATGCTCCTTTTCACTCAGGGTTTGCTGGAAGAGAACTCTTACAGAGTTAAGCTCGCCTGTTGTACATCTTTATTTTATATATATATATCTTCAGGGTCGGCAACGCGCGCGTAATACCTCTGGTATTGCAGGCGTTCATAGGCTACGGTAACCGCTTACCATCAAGTGGGCCGTTTGCTTGTTTGCTACCTCAATGGTATAAAAAAAAAAACAAAACAAAAAAATCCAACCGAATTGAGATGCGCCTTCTCTTCAAAGTCTATTGAAAAATACATTAAACTATCCAGTACAGTATAGCAATCTTATCTAATATATATAAAGCAAACAGCAGTTTCGCAGTGTGGTCCCGGCATAGAATAAGCCACCCCTTCCTTTCTGGTGGATGTTGAAAGAGGAGACTGAAATTGCAACGGATGGGCAACAGCGTCCCTCTGGGGGTAAAGAGATTGTTAGTAATAGAGACTGAGAATCCCATTGCTAGCAATATACCCAACCAGGTCGACCTCCTCGCGGTTCTCCCTGGAAACTATCATGGTTAATTCCTTATGAATTCATCATGATGGGCTAACTGGCCTGTTTTCATTCTCATCTCACACCCTTCACTGGTGCTCCGCCAGCGTATCCCGTTAGCGCAGGCGGAGTTACCATACCATTTGCACCCATCAAAAAAAAGCAGTGTCCTTCTTGAAACATATCCAAAGCCTAACTACGGTTGCCAATTCGACTACCAAACATGGCAACTACTGGCAAAACTCGCCAAGAGGGAGGTTTATTTCAGCAGTGGACAACGAATGATATAATGACGTTGATGATGAACTTGATTACAATATACCTACTAGAGTGCCGCGGCATCCTTGTAATCTATTTAAAAATGCAGCTTGCCGAACAAACTTGGCCCGCGAATCACCTATCGTCCGCATGACGCGTCTGTATAACGATATTGTAAAAACCAAGCCTGAACTTGATATTCACAACGATAGTCACTCTGTGTTCATGGCTAAATTAAAATGTTGATGTACCTCCCCATTACATTATATTTATTTATAATTTATAATAATTTATTACAATTTCCATTATTTATATTATATTATTATTCATATTGTTAATATCTTTACTCATATAATGACATTTAAGAATATAATTCTATTTTAATGTTTATCAAACACAAGGCACGCTGTGGTCGCCTATAAATGTAAGAACAGTGAGATCTAATCTACCAGTGTATTGTATTGAAATGATTTGCTGTATCTTATATTGGTAATCCTATAAATAAATAAATGATAATGGTAACACAGCAGTTTAAAATTTGCACACACATAAAAGTTTATAACCATGCCAAACAAACTTGGTTATAAAAATTTATAATTGTTTAATTGTTTATTAATGCACCATGCGGTATAGAGATGTTATTACATTAATTATTTTTAATTATTCTTTTATTTACCACGCTATGCTTTAGTGTATAATGAGCAGAACGATAAAGGCATTTACAATTTTTAACATCTATCTATACTTATAATAAATCTGTAGACAGGTCAATTCTGTACATGAAATATATTTCCAAAATAACTATCACGGGGTGATAGATAAGTGATCGATACTGATGCCAAAAATGCAATCAGTAAAATTTTTGTCTGTCTGTCTGTATATTCGTTATAGAAACAAAAACTGCTCGACGGATTTTAACGAAACTTGGTACAATTATTCCTCATACTCCTGGGCAGGTTATAGTATACTTTTCATCACGCTACGATCAATAGGAGCAGAACAGTGAAGGGAAATGTTGGGAAAACGGGAGAAGTTACTACATTTTTAAGCTTCCGTCGCGTGTGCAGCCTTAATGGCCACTTTTTAAAATGTTGAAATGTCCACCCGTGCGACGCCGGGACGGGCCGCTAGTTATAAATATGAGAGTTTGTTTGTTTGTTAATTCTAGGCGTTTTAGAACATTTCTAATTTGAACTTATCGAAGTATGGCTACGAAACTACACTACTAAAATAACTGATATATTTCTATTTTATATGTGTATTTTAATCTGTACTTCATGCTACTGTATTTCACTTGAATTGTTTATATGTCATTGTTTATTTTCATATTTTTGATGTAATAAAGAGTTAAATAAATAAATAAAATGAATGAATGAATTAATGAATGAGTATACTTTATTTGCATTATACAATATAGGAAATAAGCAAGACAATTTACAAATACAACGATACAATTGTATAAGTACAGTAAGGCGGTCTTATTGCTGAGAGCAATCTTTTCAAGACAACGTTAAGGCAATGGACTAATTGTTGTACAAGTAGGTATAATAGTGCTTTATAATTAAAAAAGCATCTTTTGCAAATTAAAAATATATAAAAATTATATACATATATACACACATATATACATACATTAAGGAGCCAGCATTTACGCGCCTATGTATGGCGAAACATGTACTTATGTTTTTATATGTTATACTTTGTATCTCATATAATTGATATATTTAGTAGTAGCCCGCCAAAGATATTGGAAGCGGCTCACAAATATCTAGAGACGAGTTAAATACATTTATTATAACTTTGCATGTTAGCACACTAGATTTATAACATTAATTTGGCTTTTGCTGTTATAATGTTATGATTATTTTTAATGAATAAATAAATAAATAAAAAATATTTAATACATAAAATTAGTATTAAAGTTTAGACTGCAAGTCCCCCCGCTCCTGCCACTCCTCTGGGTGACGTCGGGGCGGGTGGTCGTGTGAGTCGCATTGTGACATATTATTGTTTATTATTTCCTACACCTACCTACCATACTAGGACGACAGCACAATATAAATTCTTGTTTCATTTACCTGGTAACACAAGCCAAGCAGCCACGAAACTCATTCCTGTTATATTCAGGTAGAACTGCCTCTTTTTCACGCCGACCAAATCAGACAGGTACGTGAATACTAAAGTAGACGGGCCACCTAGAAAAAAGAAATACTATTAATATTATAAATTTGTAGCGATGCATAAGTGGATATTTATTATTCTGTCACACAATAACTACAGAACGGATTTCAATTAAATATAGTACACGAATAGGTTAGGGGGGAAAGGGATTATTAGTAATGGAGACTGAGAATCCCATTGCTAGCAATATACCCAACCAGGTCGACCTCCTCGCGGTTCCCCCTGGAAACTATCATGGTTAATTCCTAATGAATTCATCATGATGGGCTAACTGATCTGTTTTCTTTCTCATCTATCATCCTTCACTGGTGCTCTGCCAGCGTATCTCGTTACCGCAAGTGGGGTTACCATACCATGTCCACCCATAAAAAAAAAACACGATGGTTTTCAGGGGAAACCGCGTGGAGGTCGACCTGATAGGGTGTATTACTAGCAATGGGTCAATTAAACCCCATTACTATTAATCCCTTCTCCCCCCTGATAAGGTTTTGGTGATGTTTTAAAAGAAACACTACTGCCTATCCCTCGATCTTTAAGTTCCCTTAGTCGCACGACACTCATGGGAAAGAAGGAATAAGAATTTTATTATTAAAGTACTTAAATCTATTTTTCTCCAATTCTCCAAAAAATTCAATTTCACATACAATATGTTGTTTTAAGAACAGTGACAAAAGTAACCGATCGTTAAGTCAGTTCGAAAGACATTATTAGATGGATTTATGTTTTTAGGAAAAAAAAAATGCCATGTCGCTTATACGGACAGTCACGGTGAGTAGCTCTTTAACCGTAATTACAGACGGTGGCCTACCATAGCAACAGCTAGAGCTCGAATCGATAGAATATCAGTTTCTTGCTCTTTTGAAGGCAAAGCAATGAACTGAGTTGTGACCATTTTGTATTACTGTGGCACACACATGAAAGAATTAATTATGTATTTTTTTGCATATTTATTTTTGTCTCGCTTTTTGTGTTTCACAATTCCAACCTATTAATAATATAAATGCGTAAAATTTGTAAGAATAGATGAATGTTTGTTACTGTTTTACGTAAAAACGGAGTTTTTTTTTTTTATACAACTTAGAATGGCCAACAAGCTGACGGTCCACCTGATTGAAAGTGGTAACCGTCGCCTATAGACATGAGCAGTACCATGGACATAACAGAGTATACTGTCTCGCCCATGATACCCCCGAATGCGTTGCCATTTCTGAAGACTCAGGTGTTATTCCTCTGTACCCTGTAAATGCACGCCATATCCCTATCCCTTCAAACCAAAACACAGCTATGCAAACAACTGCTTCACAGTAGCAACACGAATGGGACAGAGGTACCCAAGCAATCGACTTTTGTACAAAGTCTCCCTCATAATGAACATTACAATATACTAATTCCATAGTGCTGTTCATGTCTATAGGAGACAGTTCCCAGATTCCATCGACTTATTCGCCTTTCCAACCTAATAATATTGTGGGGAAAAGAATTGTTAGTAATGAAGACTGAAAATCCCATTGCTAGCAATATACCCAACCAGGTCGACCTCCTTGCGGTTCTCCCTGGAAACTATCATGGTTAATTCCTGATGAATTCATCATGATGTGCTAACTGGCCTGTTTTCATTCTCATCTATCACCCTTCACTGGTGCTCCGCCAGCGTATCCCGTTAGCGCAGGCGGGGTTACCATACCATTTTCACCCATCAAAAAAAAGAATCTAATAATATTATAAATGCGAAGCATTGTAAAAATAAATGAATATTTGTTGTTTTTTCTAAGTTTAACTATATAAATAATGTATTTGTATGAATACAAACTGCTAAGCAGTATCAGATCATAAAATTTAAAATATATAGTATGTTAATGACAATTTTGTAATTGCGACTCGGCTTGTTCGAGCGGGCGATTCTTTTTTATTATTCTACCGTCCACTGTTGTTTCTAGTACTGCGCCATCTTGTTTTCACTTGGACAGTTGTAACGCCAGCTAGAACATTGCTGTTAATATTTATATTAAATTAAACGCACTTATCAACTAATATCAGAGTTTATTCTAAAAAAAACTCCATTGTCCAGAGCAGACCAGTGCCTAAAGGCAGCACCCGTTCACGAGCATGACGGATGAACCGGCCGTCATTGCGTTCAACCATATTTTAGGGAACTCAACAACCCATCCACCACCTGCCCGGACATTTTTGTCAGCATGACTTACTTAAAGCCTCCGACCAATTAAAATAATTAGGCTATAACGTGATTGGGGCCAAATAAAGAAATATAAAGATGAATATCATCAGGTATACTGCTTCTATTTTCATCACAAGCTAAGCACTTACCTATTAGGAATCCATTAATGGTCCGTGCAGCCAACAGTAGCCTGTAATCAGGTACAGTGCTCTGAGCCAGCGTGATAGCAGCGTCCAATAGTAAGGTGACGCTGAGCACGCTTCTCCTGCCGAACACGTCTCCCACTATCCCCCAAAAGAACGCACTGGCAACTCCACCTGCGAGCGAGATATATATTACAAATAATTATTTAAAAAAATCAGTATTGCTTTTTTATTTAATTCTCCTATTTTCGGTTATTAATAAGTTGAAACAACTAAAGAGCGTTCAACATTTTTAACCGACTTCAAACCGAAGAGGATTTTCAATTCGGTTGTATTTATTAACAAACATATTGTTACCACATAATTCAGTCAGTTGTAAACCGATTTGGAATTTTTTCTTTTATGTAAAAGAAAATACTTACAAGTTGGTTCCATAGAAACTTTATCAAAATCGGTGCAGTATTCTAATTTTAAGATCAAAATAATTGGTTAGGTCACAAATGAAGTCTTTTTTGTCGAACAATAATATTAAAATTCAAATATATAAAAAAAAATCAGTTATTCAATTCCATTTTTTTTTTAAATTGACAAATAATTACGCCGCGTTGCTACACTTCTTTATAAACACTTAAGAATAAGCATTCTTATGATTTCAGTTCCATAGGTCATCACCGATAATGTCATTCTACTATATAAAGACCTTGACCTTTACACTGTGGTAATTTGAAGAAGTGTGTAGCTATATCACAATTTTCCAAATACTTCCTAAACGAGTTGAATTCGTTAGCAAGCCATTCGGTTAAAATTAGATTAACTCAATTAATAATTTAATTAATCATTCAATTCTAATTCATGATTGATATAAAGCCAAGCATATGATGAATTCTATAGATGGACTTAGAACAAATACATTAATAGTAGAAGAATAAATAGTAGTAGAAGTTAATAGTAGTAGAAGTTACACGACACCAAGTCTTATGTGTTTATCATCATATTAGACTGTCAACGGTCCCGAGCCACCTGCATTTATTAATCAAGTAACATCATCATCATTTCAGCCATTATACGTCCACTGCTGGACATAAGCCTCCCCATAGACTGCCATAACGAACGGTCCTGAGCCACCTGCATCCACTGACTCCCTGCAACGCATTTCAGGTCGTCACTCCATCTAGTTTGGGGTCGTTATAACCAAGTTATATTATCAACTTTTTTTATTAACCCTTCCTTGCATGATTTTTTTTATGAGTAAAAATATATCTAGGTGATATAATTCATGTTCAAAATTAAAGGAAAAATGGTTAAAAAAATAAATTTGACGGCTATGTTTTTTTTTTTCTGCAATAGACATTAAAAAGGTATCCAGACACGATCAACTTAAAGTGAAATTGTTCTTTTATATCATTTTTAGGCATTCAATGTTATGATGGAAATTTTCACCATTATGCAATGAAGGGTTAAAATCCGCACTAATATTTGAAATGGAAAAGTGAGTCTGTCTGTTACCTTATAGACCTTACTTTAACCTCAAATAATATAATACTATACTATAGTACCTTAACTAATCATTATAAAATTTAGTATACACTTACTATATGGAATAGAGAAGAATATAGGGTACTTTTTATCGCGGTCAGTAAACATATCCCGGTCACGCGGACAAAGTCGTAGGTAAAAGCTAGTTATTTATAACATTTCTGTACCAAATGCCCTTCGCGACCTATAGTACTTTACAATAATAGAATACAAAACATTTCACATAAGAATGCTAACTGATCCGTATTGAGTAATGACCAAAGTTGAGATCAGGTTACGCCAAAGAAACAATTTATCTTTGTCGTTCATTTGTAATACGATATTACTTTAATGGCGTATTAGTGGGTACAGTCACATGTGGAGGGTGGGGGGTGGGGGACGGGACGAGGGGATTGTTTTCTTAATGGATGCAGATGAAATGGTAAACGCGCGGGGGGAAAGGGAGTGTTAGTAATGTGGACTAATGGCCCTATTGCTAGCAAGCCCTGTCAGGTCGACCTCCACGCGGTTCCCCTTGGAAACCATTGTGATTAATATTTCTTGCATTCGTCACGATGGGCTAACTGACCTGATTTCATACTCATCTATCATCCCTCACTGGTGCCCCGCCAGTGTATACCGATAGCTCAGGCGGGGTCACTATTTCATTATCATCCATTAAAAAAAAACCCCGTCCGCACAGGGGGAAAAGTATTATTAGCAATGGCTCTTCAACTCTCTCACTAACAATTCTTTCCCCCCGAAACAGGATTGTTAGTAAGGGTATATAGAATGAGCCACCCCTTCCTTTCCTGTGGATGTCGTAAGAATGATATCTCAATGAACTTTATAGTCAAGAGATGGCAGCAGCGTCTCTCTTAAAACATCACCAAAGCCTAACTGCGATTGACGACCCGCCTGAAAAATTTACCAGGGGGAGACTTTGTACAAAAGTCGTTTGCTTGGGCACCTCTGTCCCATTTGTATTTCTACCGTGAAACAGTTGTGTTTGCATAGCTGTGTTTCAGTTTGAGAGGTGGGATATGGCAGTGAATTTACAGGGTACAGAGGAATAATACCTGAGTCCTCAGGAATGACAACGGGAGGTATCAAGGGCGAAACAGTTTACACTGTTATGTCCATGGTACTGCTCATGTCTATAGGCGACGGTTACCACTTTCTATCAGGTGGACCGTTAGTTTGTTTTCCAAACTAAGTTGCATAAAAAAATGTGGCAACTACTGGCAAAACCCTCTAAGGGGGAGGCCTATATTTTTTTTATACAACTTAGAATGGCAAACAAGCTGACGGCCCACCTGATGGAAAGTGGTAACCGTCGCCTATAAACATGAGCAGTACCGTGGACATAACAGAGTATACTGTTTCGCCCATGATACCCCCTATGCGTTATACCCCCTAAGCCTTTGTTCAGCAGTGAAATGCTGACGACTGATATGGTCATATCCCAATATGTAAATGAGCCTGTCTATATAGGTACATAATGGTGGAAAGAAGGGCAGCAGCGTCCCTCTTAAAGTATCACTTAAAGTCTGCCGTTGTCATCTAAGCGTAACAATTACTAGCAAAATTGGCCTTATGGGAAAGGCTTGTGTTCACTAGTGGACAATTATCCGCTAATATGATGTTATAGGTACCTACGTGCATAGTAATATTTTCCACATCAGTGACTTTATGTTTATGTATGTCTTTTGTATTAAACGACAATTTGGCACTTATTGCTAACTGCCACAGTTATCGTAACTCATTAGAAGTGTTAAGTTTTTAATACACTTCCTGTATTAAACAAACATTGCTATAAAATTGACTATTTTACTCAATCACGCTTAAGGTTAGTCCTTAAACAAAAATAGACACGACATACTAGATGGCGCTAGAATAGTTTTTTGCAGTTTTTATTGATTATTTTATAATTAAGCAAATTTCTGAATTTGCGGGTGTCATATTAATTTAATGCGGTTTTTTTTAAATGCTAATGGAATGGTAGCCCCGCCTAACGGTATATGCTGGAGGGATGATAGGTGAGGATGAAAAGGCAGGTCAGTTAACCGATCGTGATGAATACACCTGCAATTCAGCACGATGGTTTCCAGGGGGACCACGTGGAGGTCGACCTGACAGGGCTTGTTAGCAATGGGCGTATTAGTCCCTATTACTAACAATCCCTTTCCCCCCAGTACCAGTGAAGTATGTTAGGTGAGGATGAACAGTTAGTTCAGTTAGTCCATCGCGATGAATACACCTGGAATTCAGCACGATGGTCTCCAGGCGGGAGCACGTGGAAGTCGACCTAACAGGGTATATTGATCGCAAAACTTGGTAATCCGCATTACTGACAACTCCCCTCCTAGCCCCCCTTAAAACGGTTGAACACATTTGACAAAACAAAATCAAAAGATAAAACAATGATAAGTGTTTGATAACCAAGTTAACATAGTGATTAACATTGATTTCGGATTTGATCGGGCAACCAAGCATACGGCTCGCCTGATGGAAAAGACTAAGTCCTTAATTATCATCTACAGACATGAACAATACCACGCTTATCAAAGATGCAGCAGTTACACTGCATATATGGTTTATTTTAGTTTAACCGTTCGAACGATAAATTAATAAGGGTATATATGTATATAGTGTCTATCCAGTATTAGCTAGCTGTAAATATTCCTGTGTTAGAGCAGGACAGAGAGAAACCAGCTCCTGACCTGACCAGTCCTAGACCGTACATAGACATTAAAGCTAGGAATTCCAGTCGAGTATAAAATTAAACATAGAACACGTCGTGAGTAATTGTGAACGATTCTAAAAGTCCCTCTAAGTGCTTTTATATGAATACTAGCTGACGCCCGCGACTTTGTCCGCGTGGTATTTGTTATTCCTGTTTAATATGTATCGATGTATGTACGTACCTATTTATTACATCTGGGAATAATGTACCAAGCTATATAAGTTACTATACTTTTTAAATATCCTACAGGAACTCTTTCACTTTCTGTATTTAAAAATATCTAAAATGTTGACCAGGATTGTAAAGTGCCACCATGCAAAATTTCATATAAATCGATCCAACAGTTTCGGAGATTAGCCCGTACAAACGGAGAGAAGCAAAAAAATTGAAAAATATCTGGATGTGTTCTCTTTCACTTTTAACATCGCCTTGGCTCGGTTTTTAGCGGTTCTTTTTCTAGGTACAAACATTCGACCTTTACAGTTTTATTGTGTGTATAGATTACGCGAGTATATATTTAGATAGATAGATAGATAGATACTCTTTATTGTTTCCTCCAAAAGATTACAATAGTAAACTTATTATAAATATAAATAATTACAAGAAATAATCACAACGAGAAAACAATGGGCGACCTTATCGCTAAGAGCGATCTCTTCCAGGCAACCTTTGGATGGAGAGGAGTTTAGCTATGTTCGACGAATAAAACCAAACTTTAACTGCTGCAAAACTAGTTATTATGATTTAAAAACTAAACTCCTGAACCGATTTTGATAATTTTCTACGAGACTAATCTGTAAATATATCCTTTCATATAAAAAAAAAATAATTTTCCAAATCGGTTTACAACTGACGGAGTTATGAGAAAACAAACATAAAAAAACTCGTCCCTCTCTTTTGAGTCGGTTAAAAATAAAAAAAATATCAATACATTTACTGGTAATACAATAGTAATAATAGGATCTGCCCAATGATTTTTTTAATGGATGATAATGGAATGGTAGCCCCACCCACGCTATCGGTATACACCGGCGGAGCACCAGTGAAGGATGATAGGTGAGGATGAAGCAGGTCAGTTAGCCCATCGTGACGAATTCAACAAGAATTGTTCAGGACGGTTTCCAGGGGGAACCACGTGGAGGTCGACCTAATAGGGCATATTGTTAGCAACGGGGCTGTCAAACTTCATTGCTAACAATCTCTTTCCAAAAAGAGTAGTTGAGTTTAAAAAGAACTAAAAGAGCTAAGAACTAAAAGCCAAATCTTTTTGTAAAATGGATAAAAACATATTACGCCGACCACATACAATAATTGGGATAATGAACAGGATCTGCCTCAGATATTGCTATATATATATATATATATATATATATATATATATATATATATATATATATATATATATATATATATATATATATATATATATATATATATATATATATATATATATAGAATGGCAAACAAACTGACGGACCACCTGATGGAAAGTGGTAACCGTCGCCTATAGAGATGAGCAGTACCATGGACATAATGGTACGAATGGGACAGAGGTACACAAAATCTCCCTCTAGTAAAATATATGCACATCTCTAATTGGATATGCATAATAATGTCACAGTGTATACTGTGCTGTCATGTTTATAGACGCCAGTTACCACTATCTACCAGGTAACCCATCAGCTTGTCTGCAGTTCCAAGTCTAAAAAACTCACCGCTCATAAAAGCCATATTGATAAGGCCCGCCTGGTACGTAGTGAGTTGCAGCTCACACTTGGCCGCTGGTAACACGTAAGACATCACACAGTTCTGCACGCCCGTCGTGAAAAATGCGCACGCGCACGCACCAAGCGCACTCCGGCTGAAGTGGCCGTAACCTGTGGGAGAAAAGAAATCATCATATGTCGTATCATAATCAATTAAGTCCTTGCTCATCTAATGAAATCATTACAGCAATAATAGCTCGTCATCATCTTTTATATTTTATTTATTTATAAATTACATTTTATATATTTATTTAATTATATATATATTATATTAGGATTAAGGAGTTTGATGCTGAATTAGCAATGAGGAGGTCCTGCTTAGGGTTAAGGAAAAAAGACAAATTATTAGAACTATTGAGGACAGAAAGGGAAAAATGTTGGGACACTTGATACGACACGACGAACTTATGAACATTATAATAGAAGGTAAGATAGAAGGAAGGAGGGGAAGAGGGAGACCGAGACATAGTTACATCAGGCAGATCAAGGAAAAAGTTGTGAAAAGACTCGCAGAAAATCGTAGTGGCAAGAGCTCCACCAACATGAGCACAGCTCATAAATAGGATATATATATATATATATATATATATATATATATATATATATATATATATATATATATATATATATGCGAGGTTTGTCCGGAAAGTACGTATAAAAGTTTTTTAAAAATTTTATTTTACAATTATTCAGGTAAATCAATTTTATCCCCTTCAAAGTACTCCCCCTGTGACATAATGCACTTGTGCCAACGCCGTTTCCACTGTGAGAAGGCTCCTTGAAAGTCCTCTGGTTGTAGGTTTCTCAGCTGCCCCGTCGTAGCTTTTTTTATCTCATTTATGTCCCCCAAATGCCGCCCCCGAAGTACCAATTTGGTTTTTGGGAACAAGAAGAAGTCACACGGGGCCAAATCCGGCGAATAGGGGGGGTGTTCGGTCACCGTAATGGAATTTTTACTCAAAAACTCACGGACAACAAGAGAGGTGTGGGCAGGGGCATTGTCGTGGTGAAGAATCCAACGCCCCTCTCGCGCCAATTCTGGACGAACTCGTGCCACACGAGCTTTGAGGCGTCTGAGCACATCGACGTAGAATTTTCCATCAACTGTCTGGCCTGGAGGGACGAATTCTTGATGGACAATCCCCCGAACATCGAAAAAAACAATCAACATTGTCTTGACATTTGAGCGGGATTTTCTTGATTTTTTTGTTCGTGGTTCCCCGGATGTCTTCCACTCTTTGCTTTCACGGCCATTCTTGCCGAGTTTCGAGAGAAACTTGATTACGACGCGCTGCTCTTCAACGGAAGCGGGCTCCATGCCGACGGGGTTTCGTTAAGAGGTAACTTCACAGATGGCGTGACAAGCCAGTTCGCACCGCACGGCGATCAGACCAGAACTGAAGCATTGTTAGGGACATAAGGAAGGGGTCCTGCGCTTACCTGGCCTCCCCACTCCTCTTTCTCGCATTCCAGAACACTTTTATACGAACTTTCCGGACAGACCTATATATATATATATATATATATATATATATATATATATATATATATATATATATATATATATATATATATATATATATATATTATTTGTACTATATATATAATATAATATATTCTTTATTGTACAATAAAAGTTTGTACAAGTGGCGAGCTTAATGCCATTATGGGATCCTCTACCAGCTAACCATTAGGTAAAACCACAAAATGTATGAAGGGCAGATATGATGAAAAATGTATGACATAATTATAGTAACGTACTTGTACTACATGTAGTATATATATATATATATATATATATGTAATAAATAATGAAAAATATATACATATATAAATTTTATATAAAGTGCTTATATGTTCATACTTTACATAAATAAACCGTAAGTAACATAAACGGAGTAGGCTATCCTCTTTTACTCCGTATATCGAGCTGGTATCTGTAGATTTAACAACGATATGAAACTAACGACCGTCAACTGTCCGACTATATTTATCTACACACCCTCTGACCTATAAAAGTAGGATGTAACTTTGTGGAAATGAAGTCCCTGGTTCGATTCTTGATTGGACTTATTTTAGTAAGGAACTGTTCTAAGGATTAAGGCGTGGATCTGAGTTATGCTCCCAGATTTTTTAATATAAAACGAGATATCCTTGCAAGAGATTATAATACCAGAGGGACAGAAGTCGCCTGCATAGTTACCCCTAAGAAACTTTGCTAAGGCTTTATTCGTGGATCTGGGTTATGCTCCCAGATTTGACTAGTTACTTATGATAAAACGAGATATCCTAGCAAGAGATTATAATACCAGAGGGACAAAAGTCGCCTGCATAGTTACCCCTAAGGACCTTTGCTAAGGCTTTATTCGTGGATCTGGTTTATGCTCCCAGATTTGACTAGTTACTTATTATAAAATGAGATATCCTAGCAAGAGATTATAATACCAGAGGGACTAGGGGGGAAAGGGATTGTTAGTAATGGAGACCAAAAATCCCATTGCTAGCAATATACCTAACCAGGTCAACCTCCTCGTGATTCCCCCTGGAAACTATCATGGTTAATTCCTGATGAATTCATCATGATGGGCTAACTGGACTGTTTTCATTCTCATCGATCACCCTTCACTGGTACTCCGCCAGCGTATCCCGTTAGCGCAGGCGGGGTTACCATACCATTTTCACTCATCAAAAAAAATACCAGAGGGAGAGAAGTCGCCTGCATATATAGCTCTGCATAGGTACCCCTGTCACAGTCGTGTTACTGCGAAGCAGATGTGTTTTCATAGCAATTTTTTTGGTTTGAAAGACGGAATATGGCAGCAAAGTTGTAAGTTAAAATTGTACCGAAATATATATATGTATGTATTTAATATTATACAAGCAGCCCGCCCCAGCTTCGCACGGGTAAAATGCTAAACAATGTGTTTATTTACGACATCACATTAGAAACCTCTAAATTTGTCAGTGTTTCTCTACAATATTATGCATGTATTATACATATAAACCTTACCCATGAATCACTCTATCTATTAAAAAACCCGCTTCAAAATCCGTTGCGTAGTTTTAAAGATTTAAGCATACGTAGGGACAGACAGACAGCGACAGCGACTTTGTTTTATACTATGTAGTGATCCTATAACATATAACATGCAAAACACTATAACTAATAAACAATATCTAGTAAGTGGGGGGAAAAGGATTGTTAGCAATGGAGTTTGACAGCCCCATTGCTAGCAATATACCTTATTAGGTCGACCTCCAAGTAGTTCCTCCTGGAAACCATCGTGAACAATTCTTGTTGAATTCATCACGATGGGCTAACTGACCTGCTTCATCCTCACGTATCATCCTTCACTGGTGTCCCGCCGGTGTATACCGATAGCGCGGGTGGGGTTACCATTCCATTATCATCCATTTAAAAAAAATATCTAGTAAGTATATAAATAAATAAATAGCCCGTGTGGAAAAAGCCATCCTGCTCACGCCTTGACGACCACTATAAGTATATAAAAATAATAAAACTGCTTGTGTTTTATTGTCAATATAAAAGATGTAACCAATTTTATTGGATTGTAATAGGGAAGTAACAACATTCAAGATAGCTACTCTCTATGTACTGACAGAGAAAAAAATATTAATACAATTTCATTTCATTTCATATTTATATACAGCCTATGCTATGTACTAGCAACACGTCATACTGGGGGGAAAGGGATTGTCAGTAATGGAGACTAAGAATCTCATTGCTAGCAATATACCCAACCAGGTCGACCTCCTCGCGGTTCCCCCTGGAAACTATCATGGTTAATTCCTGATGAATTCATCATGATGGGCTAACTGGCCTGTTTTCATTCTCATCAATCACCCTTCACTGGTGCTCCGCTAGCGTATCCCGGTGGCGCGGGTGGGGTTACCATTCCATTTTCATTCATAAAAAAAACACGTCATACTTAGGTTAGAGATTACTAAAATCATGGTGCTGTTCATGCCTATAAGCGTCGGTTACCGCTTTCCATCATGGGAGCCATCAGATTGATTGCCATTCTAAGTTTTACCATAGGGAGACTTTATACAAATTCGTTTACTTAGACACCTCTGTCTCATTCGAATTTCTACCGTGAAGCAGTTGTGTTTGCATGGCTGTATTTCGGTTAGAAAGGTGAAATATAGCAGTGAATTTACAGAGGAATAACACCTGAGTCCTTTAGGAGTAGCACGGGGAGTATCATGGGCGAAACAGTATACTCTGTTATGGCCATGATACTGTTCATGTCTATAGGCGACGGTTATCGCTTTCCATCAGTTAGGCCGTCAGCTTGTTTGCCATTCTAAGTTTAATTTGTAAATCAAAATAATTGGTTTTGCTACAATTAACAAGTTTTTTTTATGAAACGCAATCGTTTTTAAAAACTGATAAATAAATACGCTTTACCTATACTACAGTAAGCTAAAGTCATGAATATGTTTCAGAAAGAAGTTATTTTAGCATAGAAATATATAATTTCAGTAATAAATAAATTAAAGATAAAGAAATAAATTAAATAATGCAGAAACCTATTTTTTTTTTACTTTGTCATAACGATTTATTACATTACGGAACCCGAAACAGATTTGACCCGATACATTATTTGAAGCTCGACGTACGCCTCGGTCAGTGAACTTTGGCTTTACATCTTTTTATATCCCCTCACCCTTGTTCAGCTGACAGTTCGCAATTAACTCTTCGCTCGATTAATTTTCTTATTACATACATTGTACCATAAAGTTAATCTTTGTTTACATGTTTTTTTTTATTGGTCAAATAAATCAAGGTGATATAATTCATGTTCAAAATTAAAAGAAAAATGGTTAAAAAAATTAATTTGACAGCTATGGTTTTTTTCTGCAATGGACATTAAAAAGCTATCCAGACACGATCAACTTAAAGTGAACTTGTTCTTTTATATAATTTTTGGGCATTCACTGTTATGATGGAAATTTTCACCAGTATGCAAAGAAAGGTTAAAACTGAATACCTCAGATATGCTTTATCTGTGCCAAAAAAACTAAAAAAAAAATATTAAAAAAAATCTAATCGTCTAGATTAATTTCTGTTATTTTCTGAACATACC